AATTACTTTCACAACAAAAAGGTTGTCAAAAATTTAATGTATTGTTTTATAGCCTATTGTTTTTGAGTTCAGTTGCTGCTTAGTAAAAAAAACTGTTTTAAGTGAGAGATCATTTCCTCATCTTTGTTGTATAATAAAGGGAAGGCCCGTTTATACCAGCTGTAAGGTGTGACATGTCCATGAAGTTAAGTAGTTAATAGTTATGAATAATCTAAATGCAGTGGATTGTTATGTTTTGAATTTACTATAAAATTGTCCTAGATGGTCAAAGAGACAACATGTTTGAATAAATTATATTTTTGACTTAAAGAGATCTTTTGTGCTTTGTCAGTCTCTGGTATTCTGAACCAGTGTTGGCCTACTCTTCAATTTTCTTTATCTTCTTCCTACCTGTAGGAAAAAAATGAATGGATTGTGGATGTATACTTGACATTTTGTCATGCAGTTTGTATTTTATATGAGCAAAATAAAAGCTGAGGAATTTGATGGATTGCTTGTTATGCTGCAGTATGATCTCAATTGTCACAGAGTAAATTGGTGTTCTCTGCATGGCTTGAAGTACTCATGTAATTTTTCTACATTCCAAGCTTCCTTGAAGAACGAGGAACGTTCTCAGAACTTATTAAGAATCAGTTTCTGTGAAGAGTGAGAGAAGCGTGGCCTTTTAATTACAGGACAGCTCTTACCACCCCTTTCATGTGCTAACCACCAGGTCAAAGCTGGTGTCCTTTGACCTTTGATGATAGGCTGAATGAAGGCCGATAAACAACTAACACCAGGACTTCCTACAGCAGGATGACTGAAATGTGTATGTTATGATATCTGTGAGTTTTTAGCAGTTTGTTAACAACACAAGACGTCAAAATCCGTAACAAAATAAAAGACAAGAACTCTCTGTCAAGGTTTGTTGTTGATCGATAACAGATTAAAATAGGTATCCCTTAGCGTGTAAGATTAGGATTTATATTCGTACACCTTAATCACATGAACTAATACAGTTCCATTATTAAAACCCAGAAATAGACACTCACTAATTTGCTTTTGCTGTCAGTTGAATGTAATACATGACAGGTGAATAGAAAGTTGAGAAGAAGCAGGTTGGGCAGAAATGATGCTTCTGTATCTCTGTTTAAAATTATTAATCTGTACTTTCATCAGGGACGGTAAATATTTTGTAGAGTCAAGTTAGCGCAGCAGAGGGAATATTAAAACCACTTGATGGGCTTGTTGGTTTCCTCATAATGGGCACAATGTAGCATGAGGAACTCACACACAGACATATACACAGTGCACAGAGACACGCTGCCGCAAACATAGCATACACAATGGAGCTATAGGTTCTCTTCAAGGTACAAAAACATCCATCAAAAATCTGTCTTTAGGATTTTACACTGATCCCAGTGCTATAAACCAAGTATTCCCAACATTTTTCAGCCGGTGGTTAAAACATTTAATGTTGCACACAGCCGAGCAGACTAGTGGGCCGATATTATTTTAGTAATTTATATTAAGAAATGCTGAGCATATTTATTCTCTTGAACTACTTTCTTTTGTATATATTTTTGGTAATCGGAAAATATTCAATTTTAATACATTTTTATATGTTTTTGATAGGACTCTCACAACCCCCCTCTCAAGGTCCTGCGACCCCCCAGGGGGTCCTAACCCCAACTTTGGGAACCGCTACTCTAAACAGATAAGCAAGGACCCCAAGAGCCTTTGTCTCCGATCTGACACCTACTGGTATCTTGTAGGCACTGCAGTTTATGGACCTATTTACTAAATTATTTGAAAATTTACATGAACACTCTATCAGAAGCCAGGCCTTATTCTGTGAAAACAGGCATGGTACACATGGTGTATGAGGTAATAATGCCATATATGAATGTTCACAGCATGACAATGCCAATGAATGTAGCACTGGATGTATTCGTTTAAGCATATTTATGCTGTCCTCTCTCTCTGTCCCTCTCTCCAGCTGGCAAACTGACGATGACAGATCTGTTGAAAGCAGAGGACATCAAGAAAACTCTTGAATTCTTTGCAGGTCTGTTGCAGAATTGACATTGTATTCTCAGCAGAAGCAGGCCTACAAAGTCCTAGGGGTTAGCTTTAAATACTAACAGAGACAATAATTTCATCATCATTTAACTTTTTAAATCATTTAAAATCCAGAGGTCTTAAACAGCTGTATCTGATTAATTCAACATGCCGATGTTAAAAAAGCTATTTTCATTTTGGAAACATTTCCCACCCATGAGTGTAAAGAGAGGTTTGATCTGTTTGTCGTCTGTGTATCGTCTGTCTTTTCTTATTTAGGAGAAACCTTCGACCCAAAAAAGTTCTTCGATTTGGTGGGAATGACGGCAATGTCAGCTGAAAGCGTCAAGAAGGTGTTCCAGGTTCTGGATGTGGATGATAGTGGCTTCATAGAAGAGGAGGAGCTGAAGTGAGGAACTCAGAGGATGTCTGGCCTGATAAATACTCTGCATACTTTATCATTTATATGTTCTGAATACTGTCATGTGTTTGTTAACACTGTAGGGATCAATTTGTGTACTTTACTCAGGTATGTACTGCAGGGCTTTTCCAAGGAGGGCAGAGAACTGACTGACGCCGAGACAAAAGCATTCCTCATAGCCGCAGACAAAGATGGAGACGGCAAGATCGGCATTGATGGTGAGAGGATGGAGGAGAGCTGCAAAGCATAATAGCAGTTCTTTTAAAAAGAGAATAACATAATGTAGGGAAGGTAGAGGGTAGTTTGCAGATTGGAATTCAGACTTATGGTTGGATATGACTACAAATTCAGCCTCGGTGAGAAATCCTACCCGGGTCTTACGTGTCATGTGTGAGACTGGTTATAAAACAACATTTATCTATTGTGTTCTGTTGTAAAGACCATGTTGCTACGTCTTTACCTCTGTTACAAAACAGCTTGTGGTAGGAATTCTGGGTAATGTTGTATTTAACAACTTTACTTAACCAAAATTTAACAGTGACATTTTGGGGGATTTTATTTAGAAGCGGACCAAGTTGATGTTTAAATGAGTAGAATATGAATGTAACAAGGATGGTGCATGTAGGATTGATTCTGGTGCTGCTGCCCTGCTGCTTGGGGCCCGGACGCACGGGCTGCTTTCTGCCTGTTTTAGTTTTTTATTTATTCTCGGGGAAGCAGCTGAATGTTTTGCAGCACTTTAAGTTCAGTGTATCATATCTATGAATTTTTGTTGTTAGGCATTAATGAAGCCCAATGGCACACAAAATACTTGTTTGTTTGACCAATTCTTATTGCTCTGTTCATTGGATAACATAATTTAGCAACCTGAAAGTAAAGAACTTGGAGCCTATTCTTACTGAATAAGCTATTTATGAGTAAATGTCTCATCATGTGTGCATATGTTTCTCTTTTCTTTTGTATTTCAGAGTTCGAGACCTTGGTGCATGAGTAGGGGACAGATGAACACCCCACTTTTCTTTCTCCTCCTCCTTGTTCCTGCATTCATATTTTGTAATTGCCACCTTCAAACTCCTCTCACCTTCCTCTGGACCCTGAAACATGGAGTCAGACGAGGCCTGCTCTCTACAAAACACAACAGAAGCAGGCCAACAGGGAGTTACCATGAAGAGGCGTAAAACAGGCACCAGTTTCATTTTTTTATATATTTAATCACACATGCTGTATGGATTTCAGAATCATTTGAATGACTTCATGAAGATTGTTTGTGGTCTCAACACAGGTGGTGCTAGTGCTGTAGGTGTAGGTGTTATAAAGACTTCTTGATTCTTAATTTCCTTACTTTGTGTATTTCAGGTTGTGCATTTTTTTTGTCTGATTGGTTTTACTTCTAGATGTTCACATATCAGTGCACTTTCCTCCCACTCCTCTTCCTCATCCACCTCCCCTCACCTCTCCTCACCTCACCTCACCTCATCTCCGACCCCCTTTCTTCTCCTCCTCCTCACAACCTGCCCCCCCCCGATCAGATGATGTAGTAAATAAAAAGACATATATAAGGAGAGCTGTGAAGAGAGTAAGACATGATAATTAAAAAATAACCTTGAATAATATCTGCCTCTGTACTTTGTGTTACTCACAGTGGACACACAAATTAAACGCATGTATGATATGATACAAGAGCTCAACATTCCATAACATGTCAACCACAGGACGGTAAAGAGAATTCAATATTTATAATTACAAAGTAAGACGCGGTGGCCTAAGTGGAACCATTATGGAAAACTAACATTGTCATGACAGGGATCTCATATGTATAGCACTGTGGTGCGGATGAAATAAAAAGTGGTCCCAGCAGAACGTATAGGGTTACATGTTATATTCAGATCAGATCTGTGGGACAACAATTCTGATCATCTTCATGATGGCATGAGAGAGAGACATGAGAGCTTAAGCAGAAAAATGATTTATCAGCTAAAAGGATTGGTTCAACTTTAAGGGAAAGAGGGTTTTTTCCTTTTCATGTCTGAGATTCGTCAACATTGATATCACACACATCTGTAGTGGGATATTAGTAGCTGCAGCCTTCATCTTAGCATACAGTCTGGAAACAAGGCAAAAAAACTAGATTGGCTTCGTCCAGACAAGAAATTAAAGGTTATGGTTTGTTATGGTTTCCTCTTGTTCCCCCCTGTTTTACGTTTAAACTATTCTTTTAATACTTTTGGAAAAAAAGGAACTATCTAAATTAAAAAAAAAACTTGAACACTGTACAAAGAATTGTTAAAACTTAACCTTAAACTTAACGGTATGGATTCCAAATAAAAGACCACAGTATCACTTTTTGGAACAAGATATACCTCATTTAGACTAAGACTGTTCCAAAAACTCAGGAAACATTCCAATGCCTCTCTGGCGCAAAGCCGTCATATATTAGAGATGCCATTAAGTTCTCCACACAACCTCATCTTGCAGCCTTGGTTTACAAACCATGCCTGCACATGTGCCGATAGATCAAAGGATCCGAGGAGAAGATCTGTCATTGGTCGTCGTCGGGCGCAGCTTCACAGTGGCGAATGGGTTTGTGCCTCTGAAACGAGAGGATGACGGAAAATGAAACACAATACCTCGCACCCTCAACTGTTTTCTGCCAACATGAACAAGCCACATACAGACATGTAGGCCAACCAGGAGGTAGGAAAACTAACACCAGATCTCAACCAGAGATGCGTTACAACTGTGGCCAATGAAAATCGTTCCTCTACTTGTATGGAAAAATGTTGTGTTGACTTTACAGCCAGACTAAAAGGTCTGTTGATAATAGCCTGAGTTGAGGGTGTCACTGAAATGTCAGTATCTGCACAGATGTTTTTTTAAATGTGCTCATAAAAATGTTTTTAATAGAACATGTAATAATAAAACAATGCTTTTAGTCATTTATAAATAGTGTCATCTTGCATAGTAGTTTATCCAGCAGTGCCTCCTCTCACCTCAAAGTTTACTCTCAGCACTGACTGCAGCACATGTAGAAAGCATTAGCAGACGGCGGTCTGCACTAAAACTGTTGTATAATGGTGTTGTAAATATTCGGTAAAGTTACGAGTACCTTTGCATAGTCATATCTGTAGCAAAGTGGTGAACTACCCAAAGAAGAAAAAATGTTAAATCTGTCACCATATTGTTTATCTCTGAATTTTCAATTCTATAACCAATATTTGTTTTAAAAGAGATTAAGTCACACATACATCACTGCCTAGCCAAAAGATGCTCATCCTATAAATGTTTTAAAAATAATTCATCACACACTCATTCTGGGAAGTAAAAACTTTTTGCACATTTTTTGTAAATTTACACACTGAGAGAGTACCTGGGAAACAGAGGGTTTTCAGAATGCCCATGGGGTGATAAACTCTAAGAAAAGACAAGATGGCAGATGTGAATAGAACTGAATTACTGATTATGATCCAGAATTAGTGAGAACAAACATTTGACTATCCTTTGAGAATATTTATTTTCATAGAAACATCATTAGTACCTGGACATCTGAAGCTGACTCACCCTTCCTTTCGGGAAGGGGAGAGATTGGTCGAAAATCCACAGAGCTCCTTCTTAGATTCTGACTTGAGGGAGGAGGGGGTGGTGGAGGAGGAGGTGGCGGTGGGTGTTCATTGTAGGTCTTCGTCTGACCAGGCTTTGCTTCCAAAAGTAGCTCCAACTGCTTCTCTGGAAAAGGAGAGATCGGTCGGAAGTCCACAGAGGCTCGTCGGTTGGGTGTAGCTGGTGGTGGGACATCTCCATACTTTGTGTTCTCTGATTGGTCAGTGTCAAGCAGGTTGTTCATACTGTGGCTTCTTAGAGAGCCACCACTGAGGGGTAAAGAGTGCACAAACAGGAACTTTCAGGGTGTAACAAAGCAGTGACCTTAAATTGTGTCTATGTTTTTTTCGTTTACTCAAGCAGTCTAAAAAACATGCTATTCTACAGTATAAGTTCAGTCATATTATGGTGTGATGTGAGGTCTCCTGCCGACAAATTACTATTACAAATGTTAAGAATCTGAAACAGCACAGTGTTGTTAAAAAAAATGAGGCACTTGAGTAGCTTGCATGCTGTCTAACAATTAGGAACAGCAGATATTTTTTTTTCTTGAAGCTGAGCTCAACTTGTCACACCACACAGAAGTCTGTCACCAAATGGTTTGTAGTTTAAAAGTAATTCCGACCTTGTTGCCAAATTGTTGGAGAGGTCCTCAACAGGGGCCACATATGCAGCAGGGAACCAGCCCTGACTGAAGAGAAAAGGCAAATAAAGATAAGGAAACAGCAAACTGGATCACAATGGATCTTTGTTTCCATGTTTAGGAGTTCATATACAGGCTTTGCATACTAAAGTGTCAACATTAAAATCTTAATCATGTTTTATTTGGGGTTAAGCAATATTTTTAAAGTTTATAGCTGTAAGATTAAGATTAAGATTAAGATTTGTCTTTAAAAGTTTCCCAACCTTCAGCCCATACAGGTGAGTGTAAACATTGAGAGACATTTCTCAGGATAAAACAACACTACTTACCGTTTCTTTTGTATCTCTAACAAGAAACTATCTCATCCCTCTTTTAACAAAGTGATGTTTCTGTCAATTGAACAAGGACAAGAGACAAAACAATGACTGTGTATTCATACGGACAGCGCTTCTCTGTCTACTTCTGTACTGAATTAAAGACAGAACATCCCCACGACAGGCGCTGACATATTGTGCTGGTCATGTAATTGGGAGAGAAGACAAGTGCAGAAGGGAGCTATGTGGTCAAACAGCCGAGCTGGCACCACAGCCCTTCCACTAACACACACATTAAACTTACCAAAAAATTATTAAAGATCCTTCAGGTCAGTACAGTTCACAGACGACAGATTCTTGTGTCAGTTTTAAGCAGACACTCACAGTTATGGTAAGTTTTGTGACTGTAGTTATAGTTTTCATTACTTTTACACTCTCCTTTCTATGTCTACTCTCCTTATCCAGTTGAGTAGGCTATACAGAGCAGCATTTGTCAACACAGTATCTGTCCATCGTAATGTGAAAGATAGAGAAAATGCACTTAAAACTAAACCTATACACACACACAGGACTCTATCTCTGCCACTCACCGCAGGCTGCTGTCTGTGCGTCCGTACAGCCAGCCATTGCGTGGCTCCTGGACCAGTACTGTGACGGTCTCTCCCCTGTTGAAAGGTAAAAGCTTTGGGTTGGATGATGAAGGGTGAGACACCAGGGCTCTCATGGCTCTCCCTCCACCAAGACCCAGGGATTCCCCCACTGAGCTGGAGCGAGAGCGGTTTGGGATGGGAGATGGAGCTGGTTTGAAATGGGAGTAAAAGTGGAGGACACACAAGTCAGTTCAAAAGAGGGAACAGGGTGAAGATTAAGAAGACAATTGGGGAATGGGAGATGTTTTCTTTTAATTTAAGAAGCGGAAAAACAAATAATAACACATTTATTCAGACATTAATGTTAAAAACTTTTGAATTTAAACGAACAGATGAGTATCCTTTGGCTGAATAATCACTGAATTTGAAGAGTTAATTGCAGTAAATGGAACGCGATCAATGGGATTTAAAAAATGAACACCTCTTTTTCAGATCTTAAATGCATCATGTTAACTTGTTAACACTGACATCCCTAAATAAAATGTATCTCCATCAATAATAAAGTAGTTTCCCCAAAGTAAATTCTTCTTCCTACCTCTAGAGGGCACTCTTCCCAGCGCCTGCTGCTCCCTCCTGGCCCAGGACATATCTTCATCTCTGGCAACAGTCTGCAGCAGGGAGCTCACTGAACCTCGCAGCTGAGCAGAAACAACAAACACAGCTGGATTACCTGCTGTGCCCACTCCCTATACATCTGTGATGATGAAACCTAGCCCAGCAGGGTGTCTTGCTTTTAGAAGATACAACAGCTCAACCAAATCTTCTACCTTTACAGAGGTACAATTGTTCAGATTGTATTTGGACTGTGAAGGAGATATGCACTTAATGTTTATTGTTTTCAACTGATCTGTGTTTTACTGAAACATTCCTAATGTAAACAAACACAAGAGAGATAATATTACAAACATTTCTCAATTTAATGCAGTGCAGTAAAGGGGCCTCTGAGAAAATAGTTAAAGCCTTGTACAAATTGAGAGCCCTGAACCACTGGATCTAAATCACACAACAGATAAAAAACAGGGAATGCTTCTTACAAATGTATAATAAAGAGATATACTCTTAGTTTAGATATCAACAAAAAGATCCTGGCAACTATTTGATCAATTATGGTAGTGTTAAGGCAGCACATGGTGAGTAGTTTACATGAATCATTCCAATACAGCTATAAGCAGACACTGGTGTAGCATCCCAAGTCAGTACAGCTTCATTCTGGTACATGAAATATTAAATCACAGAGTATCATGTTTACATTTGATCAAACCGATTGCAATAAGAAAAAGAACTTAATGCATGGGGAACCTGTGCATCTTGGTCTAACTGAGTGGGAGTCCGAGGTCTGGACCCTTTAGTGTCGTTCACTTTCTCCTTCCATCCATCTGCTTTCTGTTGAAGAGATGCACCGGTCTGAAAACAGATGAGTTGTGAGCAACTTATTAAAGCTGAACCTGATCAGGCAGGACTCTGAGGCCGTGCACAGTAAAGTGTGAGTTTCATCAGATAATCAAGTAAATGAATATGTTATCACATGGACAGAGAAAAACATGCTGTGTAGGGTCTGAGCCAGGGTGTTTATACTTTTACTATTACTATTATTATATGCTGATTAACTGTGTCCAACGCTGAAAATGCATTATTTTTGGAAAACTATGTTTCCACAACTCTTTCTAGGGCACTATTCAACTCTTATGTATCTTATCTTATCTTGTGTATGCACTACATCATCGATTACCAAAGTGTGACAGTGACATACCTCCCTTGGCCACCCCTCTGGCCATGTCCCTGGATCTATGTATGTTTGTTTTGTCTGGTTGCTGTGTCCTCCTCTGTTGTTGTGTGATTCTGCTATGCTTTTGTCTGTATGTGTGTGTGTGTGTGTGTGTGTGTGTGTGTGTGTGTGTGTGTGTGTGTTTGTGTTAACCTTGTTAATAAGGAAGAGCAGTGACTGAGTAAGGCCACAATGTTTCTCTGCGAGGAAGCGATACCTCCTCTCCTCCTCCTTTAGGATCTCCTGTCGGCTCTGCTTCAGATACAACATGTACTCACTGTTCTCCTGAAATACACACACACACACACACACACACACACACACACACACACACACACACACACACACACACACACACACACACACACACACACACACACACACACACAGGGACATTATGTTTATACACATGTGGCACAAGTCCCATCCTACAGAACAGGGGTGGGCAACCAGCACCCCAATGGACTGCCGCCCCCCTCAGTCAAGGCAGCCAACAAGATCATTTCCAAAAACCATTGAATTGTAAACATAAAAAAAAGGGGAGAAAATGTGTGCTCTGACTTCAATTGTCTTCCTTCTTATACAGAACACACATAGGCCACTGTATGAAATATGGCTTCATCCTCTGCAGCATGCAAATGGGAAATGGACAATCTGTATTTATATCTGTGGACATAATTGTCATTTCCACTGTACAGAATATACACAATAAATGTACACTATCACCTAGTTGAGTATGTAGGACTGTGTCTGTTCCAATGTCCATCTGTGTCTGAGAATGTGCATCAGAATGAGTGTGAATGATGGGGAGCTTGGTTTCCGTCTCATTTGTGCACTCTATTATTTACCAAGGAGTCCCTGTAAGATCCTCGTCTCAGCTGTTTCTCCAAAGTCTCCGCCTGGTTTCTCACCTCCAGTTCATACACTCTGCGACTCCCCTGCAGCGCAAAAGACAAACTCTACTGTGATAATGAAATGTTTTCCAGATTCTACCCTCTAGCAGATATTTCCCACAAATTAATCACTTAACAGACACTTTTGAACAAGAAGGTCATTACTGAGTCTGTGTGTTTCAGGTTCACGTTGATGATAATGTAATAAATGCAATAAACTAGTCCTTACAATAGATCAAAGATTGTCAGCAATTGGCCAGAAACCAGAAAGAAACCGTTTTTGGTCAGTTACAGTATTGATTATACTAACCTTCTGCAAAGTAAAATTAAAATAAAGAAATTACACAAGCCCTACTCCAGACATAAGGATCCAAATTATTCCTCTGATAAACCCAGTTCATGGAAGGTTATATATTAAAACATGAACTTTCCCATTGCTGCTAACTCACCTCAATGTACTCCTCATCCAACTTGGTGTTCTTGTCCATGGCCTGCAACACCTCAACCTGAAACCACCGAAACTGAAGCAGGAATGGAAAAGTCCTTGTGATATAGCCAAGTCATTATGGAACATGTCCCCTTGTAAAAGCAATAGTTGTCCTAATTAGGAGTAAGTCTGTATGAAAATGTGCTCAATCCTAAAGCCAGTGTTTTAGTCAGAGACAATTTTGTTCTTATTCACATCACTTGTTTATCTCTGGTCCATCAGTTTCATTTGTGATCCATCAAAAACTAAATTTCTTGATTTACAAAAGACTAGCTTGTTCTGTCATTAACAAGAAGAAGAAAAAACCCTCACATCCTCATCATGCGTAATGGTTCCAGACCTCTCTACAGATGTGGATGATCTGTCCAGCTGCTGACTGACCTGCTTTTTACAATTTGGCCGATTTGCAAATAAAGGTGCTAATTTTTCCCCCAAATGACTGCTGATTTAAATATACACATCAAGCACACTCAAACATTGCTCCGCAACGCAGTTAGAGGAGCATTAACCTATTTGTTTTGTCTTTTTGACACACTTGCATAGGTTTAGCAGGCACAAAAGCTGTGCAATCCTTTTATGAATCAGGCCCTCAGTTTGCAATTCTAAGACTGTTGGGACTCCATGTTTTGGTGTGAAAACATGAGTATTGAATGAATGATGTACTGACCACACCCTCCATCTCTGCAGTGAGTCTCCTCTGTGTGTCTGATATCTGGATAAGGACATCCCCTGTTAAAAACAAAAAAAGCCTCTAATGAATCTGCCACATATCATAACTATACTTCACACATGTCACAGCTCAAACATCATAAAACAAAAGAACACTTCAGGAGATATGAATAATGTGTTGGAAATTTGATACATGACTTTAAGACAATACAGAATTGCTTAAGTCATCTGGAGGGTTTTTCAATCAAACCACCTTGGCTGATACGATAGTGGAAAGTTAGCTAAGCCTTTGATATAATAGGTGCCTCTGGTAACGTCTTTTGTCCTGGACTGTGGTTGAGTTAATGAATGAGTGCAGCTGAAAGAAGGTCCACGTCCATAATTTAGAGGCCTTCACTCAATAGGTCCTCCTGGTCACGCTGTGGTTCTCTGACCTTCTCAAGTTAGCCAACTTTGCAGGACCACGTGTGTTATGCTATGCTAGCACTGGTGTGTCAGATTGGGGACTTGCAAGCATAATGCTCATTGTCCCTAACAATGCTATCACACATCCCAGGCATGAAAATCAGGATTATGCAATCCTGATCCACAATAAATGGTGATACACAGAGATGTAGTATCATTGGAGGAATATGTTTTATTTCTTCTCTTCTCTTAAAGAGAACTGAGTGTGGTATTTTTAACGATGGTTGGGCTATCTCTTGAGCACTACTCTATGTCCGTAATGACTGTAATAAATTAAGGGTGAGATCTGTACTGGAGAGGCTGTGTAATCAATCGCACACAAAACACAACAAAAACACACACACTTACCAAGAGAGCGAGATGAAAATGTATGAAGCGCTTGATCACCCATCTTAGCCACAGCGCTGAAGTACGCCTCGCTGCAAACAGCTAAGGCTAAAGGAAACACACGTATGAAATGCACTGTTGACTTTTTAAATACTATACATTTAAAAAAAAGTGGACTGTAAGTAACACCACAGCAGGTTAAACTGCCCCTGGTAGGTCAATAAATTCTGCGTTTATACATCATAAACTCAAGCCTCACATTGCTGACAGGTGATATGTGCTTTGGTCTAGAAATAGCCTCAAGCCAGCAGGTATAGCTTTACAACCCATGCTGCCTTATTGCCCTATGACTGGCAGCCTTTTCCTGTTTTACCAGGCAGAGAGATGCATTAATGATACATGCTGATTAGCTGACTACAAACATAACAGACAATCAAGGCTGGAGGAACGTAGACAGTAAGGATAAGGAGGGTCAGGCAAATTCAGTGAGTGACAACCAAAACCCCTCTCTTCTTTACTTCTGTGCCTCATGTTTGTAGGACAACAGGTGCATCAAATGAGTATAGAAACACATTTTCTGTGGCTTCTTCGTGGATTTTGTTTTGTGCAGGTTTATGACATTCCTCTTAAGGTCCCTTTGGGTCCCCTGCACAATCAAAAGTACGACACGTTTATTTTTGTAATGCATGCAAAACCAAAGAAATGCTGTTCCTAAATAAAATCAACCTTTAGGTAATTTCAAAGAACATGTTGATATAAAAAAAACAATTGAAAAAAAAAAAGGTCCAACAATAACGTCTGAAAATATCTGTACCCACACACACTGAAAGAGAAACATACTCACCTTGGAAAGCATTGACGTAGCTGTTTCCTAGAGCAACAAGGTTCTGGAGGCCAGGGTTGAATTGCTCCATCAGGTTCTAGAGCACAGAAACAGAAACACACCAAAAAAACTTTAACTATCACTAAACACCTTGACATTTTAAATCTGATATATACTCAGCCAAGTCATTTAGACCAAGAGGAGACAACAAAGAGCTGATAAAGACTCACCGCATAGACAGTTAAGGTTGTTCTGTGCAGCTGGTCACTGGTGGCTGCCGACATAGTGAACAATTTGAAAGATAATATAAACTTAAGTCAAACAAAAAAAAAACCTAAAAGAATGGACGCCAGAGGCACAATGGATTTCTGTAAGGACTCTGTATTCCCATTCAAACTTCTGAAGAAGCTTCCTCTGGCATTTCTTGTCCTTTGTGTATCAAAGTGTTGGAGCAGTGAAAGTCACCTTCACTGCGTTCCCACAGTCCCCGTCCCTATAGTTCAAGACTGTTAACACCTGTCTAATAGAAAGATAGTGCTTCCTTCTCTCTACTCTTTTCTTCTGTCACTTGTAAATGAGCTCTTTGACCACACTTGTCATCAGCAGTTTTCGTGGAAAGAACGAGTAAGCGAACGATGGGAAGAGAAAAGGGAGCAGGTGACATCGATATGGCCGGGCAAGGTAAATTATTGATGGAAGCTCTGAAAGGAAAGAAGAAGGGGGGACAGCCAGCTGCACAATTAGCTGTGACGTAGACTTACACCTGAGGGACCTCAATTGTGTTGAAACAAACTACGTACTGAAAAAAGGTATATAATAGAACACATTTGCAGTTAGATACAAAGACATTTCTCCCCACACTACTAGAATTTTTTTTTTCAACTCTTCAAACTCTATGAAAGAAAATTACAAATTCAGGTCTGCATCACAAGACTCCCTTATCAAATATCCGTAGACATTACCATATACAGTACATAGCACATGTTAGGTAGATTAAAATGATATAAGGAGCTCCTTTTATGTGCTTTAACAGATAAAGATGTTGAATCCAAATTAAAGCTCCCATCTCTTATTCCTTATTTTTAGTTGTATGAAGTTGAAGCAAGTTGTTGAATCAATGTATCCATGCATTAAAGGATCAGAAGATGCTATTTAACATTTACAGGGCTCTTATGATGTTCAGTACTTAATAAAGCAGTTAAACCACTGTCATTCTACTGCTGTATTGTGTTAAGTTTACACATTTGACATAATCTTGTTTGTCACCTTAAAAAAAGATTGATTCAATGTAAGACAAGGTACGGCAAAGTGCTATTTTAATATTGAGAAAAATGATTATTGTTACAGAATGCTTAAAAAAAAGACAAAAATAAAACCCAGTCAAACAAACCAGCATCTCTAGGAAGTTGTCCTAAATCAGCTCCCCTTTATTTCACACATAGGTACAACCCTTTACCTTCAAAACTTAAGTTTTGTTTCTATTTTTTGCATTACTGTGTTGAACATTTGGGAGACCAGCAATTTCACATACTTCCAGAGAAATTGCTGAAAATTCTCACATTGGTTAAAAATCTTACCAAAAATGTGATCCATCATTACATACTTTCATACTGTATTTATACTCATCATAAAACATTTGAGTTACATTACATTACATTGTTAAGATTACAGAATTACATATTTTTTAAGTGTCAAAGCCTTTTTACTAATTTCCCCCTAAGATACAGCCTGATTTACTTTTGCTGGGCAAACAATTCAAGAACTTGATAAACTGCTCACAAGCTTTTGCATGTACTAGTGTGACATCGACCATATACTTAAAAATCCAGGGATTGGTACAATCCGTCCTACCCAGCAGGTGTGATCATGTCTTTCAAGTTGGCAATGTCATGGTACAGTACCCCATCACGCCCGCCATCCTCAGTGGCTCTCTTAAGGCAACGGTCTACAGTCTCCAACACAGTTTTCAAACGCCGGTCCAGAGCAGTAAGGTGGTTTTCCGATAGCAATGGAGCCACTTTGTGGAGGGGATCATTGGAAAGTGAGGCCCTCATGACATCACTGAGACGATACTTTGGAAGAGACAGCAGACGCAGACGCAGCCAGGTGGAGTGACGGATTCTAGAGACAAAGCTCAATATTAGAGAGGCTGAGAGAAATGGGAGAACAGGATGGAGTGGCTAAAGGAAAAAAATAAAAGAGAAAATGGTGCAAAACAGTGTCTGATGTTGTCAAGAATAAGGTGTTTTTGTAAGTGTGTTTTCTTTCATACAACATGGCTAAGTGTAAAAGTATTTCACAAATCTTAATTAACCGTGAGTAATTAAAACCACTATTCTGGGCAACTGAACTCAACTGGAAGTAAAAAAAGTGAATAACTAAAGAGAATACATTTATAAAAGATAGCAATGCATTTGATCCCATTCTTTGATCCCATGCTGCCTTGTCACAAGGCAACAAGGCAGCATGGGTTGTAAAACTATACCTGCTGCCGTACCTGCAACATTGCGCTAGAGGAGTCAGGATAGATGGTTCATCTTTGGAGTGACGCCCAAATCTGCATTGAGAACACATCAAGAATAATGCAAGACAAGTCATGACTACAACCCTGAGGACTACTCCTAATACTCACGCTCTTCCATTGTCAAGGTGTATTAGGAAAGTATTGTTGCCAAACTTCTCAAAAGTTTCATAATGATGCCTGTCCATGTTACCTGAAGAAGAAGAAATAGAATTTGGTAAGATCAACTAGCAGTTAGTCAAGGCTAACTCAAGTGAAAACCTTGATTTACATAGTAAATGCAAAAAGTAATATTTATTGAAATCTTGACAAGTTAGGCAAACATAAACGATTTTTAAAAGTATTAAAGGTAGATGTTTCGATGATTTTCCATTTACAGCTTTGTCATATTAAGAAATGTACCATTTTTTAAAGCTTTCATTGACCAGCAATGTATTTGGATTTTTTTGTTAGCTATCTAAGAAACAGCTGTTTACACACACACACGCAAAGATAAATTACAAAATGCAAACATTAGTACAACACAAACTTTATTTTACATTTATTTTTTGGCATTTTCTGTGTCCACGTGAGATAGCTATGTGTGCATGTATGCAGTAGACTTTTAACCACATATAACACTTATGCTGGAGGATCAGCTAAATCACACAAAAATTAATTGGCATTATAACATCTTGTTACCATTTTAATGAAACATTTCAAAACATTACAAAAAAAATGTAAAGAGGCATTTTTCAATGACATTTCCAGGTAAATGCATAAATTCATGTGAGCAAGAGTCCCAATGAAGAGGGATTTCGATCAATCCAGAGATTTTCAAATTTTCGGTTTGTTCCATGAAAGCAGATTTAATCAGGTGGATCTCTTCAGAGCATGCTCACTACCCTCACTCTCCTTAAATTACACAGCACAGGATTTAGTTTGGAATGAAGTGGAACCATAGTGATAATGTTAACATCTGCTAGTCCCCAGTTCCCCCTCTTGCGGTCTCTGTCGAGATAGAGCGGACAGTCATAGAGAGGTAACTGACGGGCATTTGATGCAGAAGTCTGTGTAACCTGTGCATCCTTTAAAGGTGAACTTTTATCAGAGGATGTGATTCGGGCAATATTTGTGCTCCTAACTTGAGCCTTTACACAAACAAGGGGCAATGAGCCAGGCTGTGGAGAGGCTGTGTCCTGCAGGGCTCCTAGCTGTGTATCCCAGGATGCACCACTTAGCTCCAGGCCACACAAATACACAGCATCTAGGGGAAGTGAAGCTGGGTACGTACTGTCACTCAGAACCTAGAGAGGAGAGAGCAACTTTACTAATTAATATGCAAAAAGTGAAAAGAGTTACAGATTAAAGAAATAAATATCTTAATCGAGTGGGTTCCAAACTCGCAAGGCAATTTAACAATGATTTCATCATTTGTTTGTGTATGTTTTACCTGAAAATGCAGAACAATGTCACTGCAATTTTTGCGATTTACTAGAGTAGCCTCTCTCATGACTGCCGCCAGAAAGCCTCTGGCATTTTTGAAAGCAGATAGTCGATAGGCACCAGGTGGATCTGAAGTGTTGAGATGCAAGAGGTAAGCACTGAGCAATTCTGCCCTCCTCTCCAAGAAAGACAAGTCAGTGAGCTCAAGGAGGGAAGCAAAGGTTGACGTGTTGTATTGAACAGGATGCTGGAGCTGTGAGAGGAGCAAGTGCACCAAATCGATCAGATCATCCAACTCAGTCTGGAGAAAGTCACGTAGAGGACTGGGAGAAACAACTTCTGCATTTGAATCCATGCTCTTGTTCTTGTGTGTGAGGTAACGTTTCAGAGTTTGCAGTCTGTCTCTAGCCTGGTTGTAGGCCGGCAGTGAGGCAGACGGGTTTAGCTGGGGGCACAAAGTCCTCACTGATCCTAAAGGAGTCTGGGAAGCCTGTAGTTGTATATTCAAGTTTTGGCTATTGATCTTGATTCTCTCAGCTGCTATTTCACCACTGAAACCTTGCATAAGAGGCTCATTTATGTTTGCTGAATTCTTCTCCAAAACCTGCAGTAGTTCTGACAAATCTGTGGACGCATAAAAAAAAGCAGAAGTCAATAAATTGTCCCAATAAAGAATGTTTTACAAACAGAAACATCCAGTGAGGCTCTTAGGCTTGAACATCCTGCTCCTAGTCTGTAATTATTAAATAAGAAAGGCTAATTTTGATGCTGAAATCAAGAATGGCGATGAAGATAGGGGAAAGGGGGTCCATATTCTCTAGTTCATTTTCTAATTAATTAGCCTGTCAGATGTATAGTGTTTAAGATAAGGTTACCAAAGTCTCCAGGTTTGATAATAATATCGGAGAGGATGTGTGGTCCACTGCCCAAGAGAGGTGACGCTCTACTGAAGCAGGTCTCTGCAACACTCTCCAACACCTTGAAATCTGCAGAGTCCAGTACATGGCCACCATGCACAAGATTGACTATGAATAAAAAGTTGAAAAAGTTAAAGCACAAGCTAAAAAAAAATATATAATTTCAGTATGAATGAGTGATGCTGCTTCACCTGCTATATAATGCAAAGCCTGGAACCTGTCATGGCAGTGATTGGCAACACTGAAGTGGGCATCAATCAAAGCCAGGAGGTCGTCCTGACCCCTTCAAAACACAAAAAATCAACATGCATTAATTCATAGCGCTGCAGGACACGTCCACACTTTAAAGAATTGATCTTGTTTCTAAATTATCACATTAATTCAGCTCATATATGGTTTCAATTTAAATCCAAGAGTACAAATATTTGACAAGACAACACTTATATCCTAAATAAACTCAATACACAGTATGTTTGCACATTCCCTCACCAACTGTATATTCTGCCTTGGCCTAAGTATTTATAGCTCTGTCTCTGCAGTAAAACAGAGTGGAAGATGGCACAGCGGAGGAGAAGCTCCTTGTTGTCTGCTGTCACGTCCCACTGTGATTTTCTCTGCACGATGGACACCACTTCACGAAAAGAGCTGCTCAGCTCATCCTTCAGATCCCATGGAGAGTCACAGACCAGAGGAAAGGCACACAGTCGCATGGCAGCTGTTTCAAAATAAATACAAGTTAAATTGAAATTAGAATTACAACTGAATAAAAACCAAGATATCAGAGGTTGTTGTTTTACTTGAAGAAAATAAGATCATGTTAACAAACATTCACACATATTGCTGATGACAAGAAAAAGTAATGGTTTCTTAATGTTTTCTGTTAAAAGGATAAAAATGGACCAACAGCTCTTAATGCACCATAAAAGGAATATTTTCATTAATTACAATACAATACACCTACCTGGTATGGAGCATGATTTATATTCTTGTGTTATAAACCATAACTGGAAGCAAGGGTGACTCAGGCTTTGGTTATCTATGAAACCAGTATGTAGACAGGCACATTTTCAGATAGGAATATAGTTGAATAAAGAAACTGGGTTAAATCATTTTATGAACATTAGCAATAACATTTGAAAAATGGATCCTTGAAATACCACCTACCTCTTAGAGATGAGATCAACCATCTGAGGCGAGCCACTACTTTATCATCCCATTGTTCAAACAGGTGACAGTTGTTAAAAACCAACCAGTGGCCCTCATGAACAGCTTTTTCCAGCATTGAAAGAATCATGTCTCTGTCACACAGAGCCCCAAGAGAAATGACTTTCACCTGAACCTGAAACAAATTCATGAATGAAACACTGGATTGATATTCAAACAACTATTATTTTCCTCTGAAGTCACCCTCAGGGACTGAAATGACTTTACAAAATGTTTTGCTGCTGTGTTTTAGGTTGCAGGTCAAATGGTTATAGGGTATCTGAATAATTATAATAATTTCACCAGTCTCCATTCGAATGTCAACTGAAAAAGCAATGAAAGCTAAAAATCAAGAGGGAAATCGTTTGTGCTTCAAAGTAAAACATAACCCATTCACTACAGTTAAACAATGGTTACCGTTAACATTCAGCAATTAACAAGATAGTATGAAAGATAAATGGTAGTGTTACAGGATTTAAAGGGAAAGGTACATGTTTCCTAGCTGAAATAATGCCAACTAGGAAGAGATAAAATGCTAGCATTAGCTTTTGTGTAATGGAAGCTAATCGGTATCAATTATCTTGTTTTACATAGGCCAGATGTACAACTCAAAACCTGGGATGCATGTGCAGCATAACATAAAAAAATTATAACATTATTGGCGCATACCATTGCATGGTTAATTGTCTGGTAAAAACCTTAACTTCAAACACAATGAAAGAGCCTGTTACCTGTTTTGTTCCTGCAACACAGTGGGCCAGTGTGTTTATTAGATAAAGAGGCTGAATGTTTGTCGACTTATCTCCACTTGGACTGGGTAATGTGAGAATGATGGGTCCCTTATGTTTGACGAGAACTTGTAATAGGGCCTTTGGGTTCCCACTGTAAGGGGCCTCAGTCCCTCCTCTCTGTCCAGGAAGAAAAGAGTGGTGGGCAGCCATGGCCTCAGCTAGTCCCTCCAGGCAGTCAGGGTTCACAGTCTTCCAGAGGAGAGCCCGCTGCAGCACGGACAGATGGGAGTGAGAGCAACAGGGAATAGCTCCTGCTACAGTGGAGGAAGGGAACCGAAGATACTCCTGCCACTGTGTCTGGAAAGCGGAGAGAGAGGCAATCAACCCACCAAAGTCCGGCATCTTTTCCAAGCAGAGGAGCTCTTGGTGAATATGAGAGGGGATCCAGCATGGCAAAGCACTAGTGGAAGGTGACAGAGTAGGAGGAAGGAGACAAGGTTTTATATGTGTGAGAGGATGTTTTATGTCTTGAAAGCCCCTGATAAAAGCCACCCTCTCAGTCTCAGAGCACAGCTGGTTATGTTGAAGTCGAGTCAAAGACACCAGCAGCTTCAGAACAGCAACATGACTCTTGAAGAGAAGAGGCCGGTATTGGAGCAACATTTGGGTTACCATCCTGTTTGTGACCTCTGCTTTTACTTCCTTTGGCATTTTCAAAATAGTATATGGCACTAATGGTCTATCCTTCATGAGAAAGGCCTCTTGCATTACTGTGATGAAGCCATGTAGGGAAAAGTAATAGGCAGGAGAGAGACGGGACACCCCCAGCAGAGACTGGTAGAGGTCAGCAGCCAGCCTCATTAACTGTCTGGGCACAGCCAGCAGAGACTTGTGGTACTCCAACTCGTCACTCAGCTGCTGGATCTCAGCCTGCAGGTTCTTCATTGCTTCTTGACAAGCAGCCGCACGGGGGAGAAAATCAGAGTCCTGTAGCAGTGAGGTGTCAGACTGCACGATGTAGTCCATCAGAGCTTCCTAATACAAAAATTGTACAGTCAACTAATCAAGTAAGATAAGGCAGCAAAGTAGTAAAGGCATAAAATAAATTATTTTAGTAAGAAAACTATATATTTTTAATAATAACACTTTTTCATATATGAATCACATGCTCTTCCTTAAACTGCAACCTAGATAAAAGGGCTTACAAAGTCCACAATCTATTAATCCACAATATATGTGGACATGTAATACCAGACTACAGCTTGTGACACAACATTATACTGTAAAAAAATATATGAATAATTATTAAGGCATAAAGTTATCAGCAAGTGCATTGAACAAATTGCAAAAGCACTGGGATGAAAACATGACATTGTACTTTTATAAATCTAGAAACTGATTAAAAGTGATATGTAAGGTATAATTGTAGCATTCTGTAACAACATGCTATTTGTACAAGGTTAGAAAGAAAGCACATTGTTATGTTTCAAAGAAAATAATCCCATAACAACCAAAAAACTCATTTGCTTGATATGAACGTAAAATAAGGCCTCGTCACCTCCTCTGACACCAGTTTCTTCTGCAGCAACTGTTTGTCATTCTTCAACCGCAATTGCTGACTCAGCAGCTCTTCACATTCAGACTGCAGCAGCTGTGTCAGCATCAGCTCCTGGATCACTTCTGAGCTAAGAGAGAGGTCAACCACACCCACCTGAGCAAGGATGGATGGATGAATCTCTATTGAACAAAGGAATAAACACAGAGTAAGCCACTGCTTTCCAATGAGTTAGAAGAGTTGATTTTGAAATTGCCCAAAGTTCATTTCAATACTTTCTCTTTCATAGATACCACATGTACGGATGAAAAGCCATTACTCATAGTGACATAAATACAGAATTATTTAAGTATAGAGCATACTCTGTTCAAAGTTATAATAAGCCCTCTATATCCGTATCAAACTTAGCCAATCACCAAGACAGACTTTAACAGACACAACGTGTGTACATTTGTTGATTCCACTAATGCTTCTTACCATCACTTAGCATCTTAACAGGCAGATTGGTGCAAAGGAAGAGGCAGAAGTTAGGGTGGCTTATGTCAGGTGGGATATGACTTTGAAACCATTGAGAGCAGCATCCACTGCTAGGACGTGCCAATCTGTCCAGAAACTGTGGAGTGGGAACTGCTCGTTCCATGTGAGTCACCATGACTCTCAAACCTGCAAGACAAAAAGTTTGAATGGTGATTAGGATGGAAAAAAACAATTGATTTAGAAATTGCACAGCATTGAGTACCAAGTTAAGTAGTCGTTGATGTAAAACTAAGTTGTGAACAAAGGTGGATATATGCATATCACGAAGATATGCCGCACACTTACTCAATGCCAAAAAAAGTTGAAACACAGTGTTTAAACCAGAGCTCTTCTTCAGGTGATAGTTTTGAAAAACATTTGAATGAAAAACTAAGTTACAATATTTATCACCTTTAACTGCAGCCTGGTCGAGCTTATCCAGCAGCTCTGGATCATCAGCACAAATCACCATCCCACACTCTGTCTCCTTCTCAAGGTTGGCATTGTCACCTGCAGAGAAAATGATTGTACAGGTTTAACGTTTTTTAATGTGACTCTAATACACATAGGCATTGCAGTGATTTTATACTCAAATAAAATGATAAAAAATAACTGTGTGCTTAATGCAGTATATGCTGCAAGTGTTCTATATGAAGAATGTTTTGTTGCTTGTAGAAAAAACAATTAAGTAAAAAAAAACTATGGGGTTTTTGGACAATATTCTGGCTCTGGGAAGTTAGAATAACCAATGGTTTTAAGTTTTTATAATTTTTTACCAGAGGGTTAATACTGAAAACACATTTAGTCTATGTCAGTGGGGTTTTGTTGACCCAAATTTACAAAAGATCTGTTGTGGGATCTGCATATGAATTGCTTCCTAAGGACCTACCTGGTATGCACAAGCGTTGAGAGCTTATATCTTGATGTTGCTGTGTGTCTGCCAGTAAAGGCCAGCGCTGAGCCCATGGCCTACTACAGCCCCACAGCAGCAGCTTTACAACCATCCTATTTGATGGAGCATCTTGGCTTACACCCAATGCCCGACCCACAGGCAGTTGCAAATTGGCAGACACAGTGATTGGAAAACCAGGAGGTGGGTGAGAACTTTCAGTGTCAGAGTGTGCAAACAAGGAGGTTCTGAGGTCCTTGGGGTTTATTTCAATGCTTCCAGACTGACATAGCTCCCTCCACTTGCTCAGCAGTTCTGTGCGTGTATCAGGTCCGAAGGGGCCTAAATAAGAGATGACTGCAGCCAGAATAAGGGCATCTCCAAGTAAGGTTTGGTTATTTAACTCCAGCTCCTGTAAAAAATGGGGGGAACAATACCCTTTAAAAATATATTTTAACAGTTTAAATACAAAATGAAGCTGCATGTTTAACAGATATGTACAATATATTTGAAAAAATGTTTTACCTGAGCAGCGATCCTCCAGTCTCTCATATGCATGTCCAACAGCCCTGCAGCATTAGTAGCGTCTCTTTCTGATTGCTCTGCTGTGTGTAGCTCTAGTATTTGCTCCTCAAGTTTTTCTTCAACCGACTGCAGCTGATGTTTGAAGTACTCCAGACGATGGTATGCATCTTTCTTGTCCTGTATGGCCTGGTAAAGCTTTTTGCGGGCCTCTTCTTTGAATTGCTGCTTGACCAACAGTTGGTGCTGCATACAGCAGCATTCATACACAGCCTGGACCCACTGACACAGGGACTCACAGGCCTTGCTTACTTCTCGCACAGACTCTGGCATGAACTGGGGACTGTGGACTATCTGGCCAAGCTGCTGCAGCTGCTCATTTGTCAAACTGTAGTGGTCAAAATATTCCAACTCCTAGAAGATATTAGATATTAGGAGAGCAACCAAAACATCCTCTTATGTTGGATTATATTTATCATAAAATGTATTTAAATATATTTTTTTAATCCCACACACCTGGTAAAAGTTGGGTTGTCCAAAAAGCTGTCTAGCAGTCTCCCAGCCTGGGGGATGATTAAACAGTAAACAAATGGCATCCATTATTTTCACTACTCCGTCAGGTGGATCTCTATAGTGGCGCACCTCCTCCAGGTCAGATGGATCCAGACAGTTTTGAATTTTGAGACCTGACAGCAAAACAGGGATCATCTGGAAAAAAAAGTTAGTTCAGCCCCTAAAATAATTTACTCTGAAGGTTTTACAAAATGTTCGAAATTGAAAAAGCAAGTTTTCAAACTGAAATAGAAACAACTGTAAATGTACCTGTTTCTGAGTAAAATTTACCTTCTCTTCCATGTTGCATAACTTGTTCTCCTCTTCAACACATTCCTTAAGTCGCCTCATCTGGAAATCTATGTCTCCGAGAAGCTCTTTCTCATGCTGCAGGACAGAGAGGTTAATACAAACAACTTTTACTTAACAAGTAAAAGGTTACAAGTCGAGGTTACTTGTTATATATAAAATATCATTGTATTTTTAAGTAACAATATTAATAGAATAAAATATAATACGATGCAGTTTCTTCATCAAAGTCCAGAAGCCTCTGGAGTGCACTGATTGATTGCTGAAATGTGGCTTAGATCATATTTGACTGTGATGAAAAATGACCTCTTGTGGTTTATAAATCATAGCAGTCAATACTGCTGCAATTTTTTTCAAAAGTATTGATCTAACTTCATCTAGATGTGCTGAATTGCTGAATTACCTGCTGTGCCATGGCAACCGCCTCTTGCAGTCTTAGAAAATCATTTTTATACACCACAGCTGCATTTCTTATCCCATCCAAATGAGACAGAGCAGTGGCAACTCTGAAAAAAATACAATGGTTAATCTAGAGTAACATTTATTTTTGATTCGTTTAAAAAATCATGAAGTGTTAATCAGGTATCTTGTATACCTAAATACACAGCTAAGCAACAGACACTATGTGAAGGTTACTATTTATGTTTATGTTTGTTTATTGTTTCCCCTAACTGGTCAGACTGTGTTAAGGATGGTAATGTGCAGCTGTGATGTATTGTATGGTTAATTATATATACCTTTTGCTGTCAGTATAGAGGGACTTTTTTCAAAAGCTATCACAAAGTAGTATAATCACTATTTTTTTCCAGATATCACAGCGGTTCCTCATACATTAGGAGAAAAAGTAGAAACTACTACCCAAGTACTAGATTAACAAATACCTGTTGGCCTGGCTCTGCTGTTGCTTGTGCATATGTTTGGAAAGGTAAGCAAAGTGGGCAATGAACTCCATGTAAGTCTGAGGGCTGAAAGGCTGAGATGTTAGATGGACAGAAGCATAGTGACATGCAGATTGATGGATTCCTGCCATAGCCACTGGCAGGCTGACTTCTGACCTTTCTCCCTCCCCTGAAAAAAGAAATAGAAATGCATGTGTCTTGATACAGCCATCAGATAACACTGTCAGTAAAAAGTGGTTAAACATGAATTGAGTATGCATTAACTTTGATGCTGGGACTTACTTTTGTGGAGGCAGGCTTTAAGGCAGTGAGCAGCACCTTCAACTAAAGACTGATTTGACCAAGGCTGGTACACCTCCACACAACAGCTGCAGCTCAGGGCCTTGGTAAGTTGGGCCTAGATCACATATGATAAATTATCAATCATTTATTTTAATTAGAAATTTAACATACTCAGTAGCACACTCTGCAATTGGTATAAAGAGCCCTCCCAGCACAGACATTATATCAGAGTAGAGTTCACATTGTCCACATTATGCATTTCAATCTGGCTTCAGGGACTCAGCTGTTATGTGATAGAATATAGGTCCTGTACCCTAATCATTTAGGTATAAGACATACAACTGTTATGTGATAGCTAGGGTCTGGGGATGTACCCTATTCAAGTTAGGGTCAAACATAAAATGATGACTAAATGACTGTGTCTGTGTTTTTATGCACTTTACCATTAGAAAGATGGCTTTGTTATGTCAAGTTCAAAGGCTCCTTGACAAGTAAAGTCTTTTAAATAAAATACTTATTTACATTCCATGCATGAATCTCCTTGTCCGCAGGTGTCTCAATGTTGACTGGCATGGTTAAGGGAAGCAACAGGAACACATGTACATTTCTGTGGATTTGGCTCAAGAACCTTTGTAAAAAGAAACACAATATTGTTGAGATTCAACCTGCATGCTCTTTCTAATATTTACTGAGGATAAATATATGATGCTATAAGACCATCATTGTTAATTATGTCACAACATAATCATGACACACAGTAGCATGCCATACAAATTAAGATCTTAGAGAATCAAATATGTATTTCTAAGCTTAATCATCAATAACTTTAATTCATGTGTTGAATGACTACCACTTGTAACAAAGTGTCAAAGTTGCATGGAAATTTTTTCATAAATAAAGTGTTTTCCTCTTACTTCTCAAAATTCCAGCTGTCCATCACATATCTTCTTGAATTCATCACCGCAGTCACTCTGGAAACAAGATTTCTCAGCTCCTCATCTGTGCTGAGCGCTGGGTAGGTTCTATGCGCCATGGCAACCAAAAGTTCATTTCTGACAGACAGGCTAATTCCTTCATGGGCTAGTATGATGACATTAACACCTTTTATTCTAGCTTGATTTCTAGCTTCTTTTAGGATGTCATGCAACTTATTCTCATTACCAGGATGCACCTCCATCAACTGATAACCCATGAGATAAGCAGCTAAACGCACAGTGGTTTTACGTCCTGTGCCTCTTTCTGAGCCAATCAACAATCCATGACCACCAGGTATGAACAATACCCTGAGGATATGTAAAAGCTGATTTAACCTCTGTCTGTGTAGAATGCATCTGGTTGCAACATTGTAGTCGTTTACAACTTTCTGTTCATTGTATTCCTCTTCCCTGTCAATATGAGCACAGAGCTCCTGCTGAAGGAACTCAAGGTCTTGGTCCTGATAAAAACAGCTAAAGTTGTGGTTTACTGACGTTAAGACTTCAGATAGCTCAGGAACAAATACAAGCTTAGCCACTTTTTCCTCCATATACTGAAGAATCAGGGGTTTTAGTATTGCCTGCTTGGAGTGATTTTCTTCAGACAGAGGAGCAGGCTCAGTCCATGTATGGCATTTGTTCAAGTCTGACTGGCCAGCTGGCATTGGCTCTTGAAGCAGATCCGATATATCTACACTGTGACCCATTGATTTACAGGGGACTGCTGTGTCTACAGGCACTGTTTGTATAGAAAGGCTTTCGGTAGTGGCTGGGTAATCTGAATTTGCAGGTTGGACTTCATCAATCAAAAATATCCCATAATGTGTTGTTGCTGTAATGGATATGAGTGAAACAAGACTTTTGCATTCACCCTCAGAGCATAATCTGTCACCGAATGTACGCATGCACTCGTGCATCCAGAGATGTGCTATGTTAAGAGATAATGTTGCAGGCCCTGACAGGACTGGAGGAAAGTCTTGAAGTGAGTTCTCCTTTTCCTGTATCGTTGATGTGTTGAGAGAATTAGGCTGCCACAGGCACATCCCCAAAAACACTTTCTGAAGGTCATGTTGAGAAAATATGAAATGGGGCCTCTGAGCAGTGGGCTGGAATTGCTCACATACAGCATCATACAGATTTTTAGTTGCAGTGATAATACAATGCGCCATATCCTCACAACTCACAAGGGGCATTTCTTTCAGCCAGGTTTTTAGCCGAGAAGAATGGATAGAGAATACAACATCCATAGTAAGGTTGGGCAGCACAAAGATGGAGAAAAGGCGTGAGAGCCTGGAGGATATCACATTACTTTGATGATTGCCTGATCCAAAGACACAACAGGTAGCCATATAACTGATGCATCTGGAACTCAATAATTTGAAATGGTAGGTATCATATATTAGAATCTCTCCTGTTGACACACTCTGTCGAAGCGTCTCTAGAGCCGCCGAGGTCTTCCCAAAGACATCTATTAACAGCAATGAGAAAAAAAAAGTTACTTAAACCCTTCAGTAAAGGGGCTATATGTAACTTTCAAAAATACTGTGTTTGTAGTGATACCGCATGGCTGTTAGGCGAACTGCACCAGTAACCTGTTGCTCACTCTCCCTCACATGCTCGTCATACGTGCTCGTACGTACACTAACGAGCATCATCATCGGCCGCGAAACACTGGATATTTACCGGCAAAATGTTTACAGAGGAGGTAAGTGGTCATACACGTGAAAGTCTGTGAAGGAGTCTATGTGTCTGTATTCATTCTCCATCCTACAAACAACAGTCTTGACAGGCACTGGCTGAGAGCAGGAGTGTGTGATGAGTTTGTCCGCCTTTGAGAGCTCCTAGGGCGGATAGAAGTGTGTGGAAGACGGCCTCTGGCTGTGGAGGTGAAGACCGGGAGTGTGTGATGAGTTTGTACTTTTGATCTGTGTAAGCGGAGCGGAGTGAGGAGGACGTTGAGAACGTGCATAAAATGTCACTTCCTGGAGCTTTCGCGGAAAATATGACCCGAGGAAAAATTTTATACAGGCAACACAGATAGACAGTGAACATCTACTTTTTCACATCAGTTAACCGTTTGCTTATTAATGGGCGATAAAAAACGATTTATACATGTAAAAAGTTACATATAGCCCCTTTAAGTGAAAAATCTGATTAAAATTGAATCACACATTCTCCCAAAAATGTCATACTCACCACATGCTTCATGCAAATCATCCACAAAAAGAAGCAGTCGGGGCTGTCTTATCATGGAACCTTTGGTGTTTTTAGGGTTCTTCTCATATCTGATGTTATCCATTAAAGTGCGAAGGTCTCTGGAGCTCAGGAGCGGACTAGCTGGTAGGCTAATATGTGGCTTGTCGTAACTCAACAATGTTTTGCACACTGTCGTTTTTCCACTGCCAACCTCTCCTGCAAGCAACACTGGCTGGTTTGCCTCCAACATGAGGTTCAGAAGGAATGTGTATCTCACATACTGTGTAAATAAAACATACACTTAGTTCAAATGTTTTAAAGTAGTGAACACTACATTTAAGTAACTGCAATTCTCTGGTTAAAATTATCAGAACATACCTTGGGAGTGATGACACTAGTAAGCATTGAATTTGTGGGGCAAATCTTGCTTTCAATGTTGAAAAAGTGTTCAAACACACTCTCTTCATCGGGAACCATAATTTTGTACCGGCAAGAAAACAAGGCTTGACGGATTAGTAAGTCAAACTGTGGCCAATATCTGCGGTATAATTCAAATAAATATGAGAAATTAGCAACTGATTTCAAGGTCATTCAAGGTAAAAAGGCAAAAACTGCAAGTGATAACATGTGTTTATAGCCATAACATATAACTTCATTATAACTTCAAGTATATGTAAAAGTATCTTTACCGAGGATGTAAATGTCCACTAAATCCCCAAATAAAGCCACCAGAAAAAGGTTTCTGGCCAGCAGGTCTTGTTTTGTGTGGCATCCTGTGCTGGTTCTGTTTAGAACCATATCTAATTGGAGAAAAAAATTGTAAATAGGGGTAAAATAGATTCATTCGTGTATCTGTCCACTACATTACTTGTAAATGAGTATTGGTTATACCTGTTTTTTCTTTTTTTGGTAATGATTCAGTTTTTCTCAATTCCATTCCGAAATGCTGTAGGAGGGCATGAATGACCCGAAAAAATGACATGATCTCTTGCAGACCATCCACATGACTAGATTCTCCTTCATAATGAATAGCAGAGGTTATATGTTTCTCCTTGAGACAGCTGAGAGTGCTTGAAAAAAGATCTTCAGCCAGACGATTCCAAAATGTCAAGGTTTTTTGATCCAGTTTGTGTTCCCATGAGAGCGCATCCATTTCAGTCTTCCACACAGCCTTCCAGAGATCAGTTCCTGTGAAATACACCAGGCTACAGCAGGTCACTGCAGATGGACTTGCATCACATAGCTTGTTGGTTTCCATAAGTAGCTTTAGGTGTGATTGGGATAGCAATGTTTCACATGATGGCAGGCACATAAACGGGTTCTCAGGCCTGCAAAGTGTGGTTAAGTTATCTAACCAGCCAGGCTGCCGCAAAGGCTCACCATCCATTACTAGCCATTTCATTATTGGCATGTGATCACTCTTGTCATTTTTGCAACTTGTACATTTTTGTTCAGATTGTTGAGAATCTCTGAGCACCTTTGAAACAGCTCCGTCTTGCCACCCTCTTTTGTCACAGAAGAAGCCAAATAGCTCCTCATGAGACATGGCGTTAGGAAATAACACCACAGTGTCAACAGAGTTCCAGGTTAAATCAGGGGTCTTTGGCTGTGCAAGTGGAGTATCTCTTTCAATCAGATTGTCCTTTTCAAACCTTGCATTTGAAGCCAGAAAATTGAGTGCTCCAGCTAGAGCACTGTAGCAGGTTGTCTTCCCACTACCTGAAGGACCAAGAAGCATAACTGCTTGAGAATATTTGATTGTTTGGTAGAGTGTAAGAGCATTGCATATAGTTTCGGTGTAGGATTGAAGCCCTTGTCTTTGTAACTCTTCTGTAACTACATCTTTAAGATGGTTCTTTTCTTCTTCCTCAATGTAGAGTTGGAAAAAAGGGAACTGACTAACAATGGGGAATGTGTCCTTGAAAATGGCAAAAAACTTTGAGGCTTTCTTCTGCTCGTAAAGAAAGGGTAACACAATGGAAAGAATCGCTTTGACAACAGCTGTCTCCTCCATCAACCCCTGTATTACTGACAAATGAGAATTGTGAAACTTTGGAGTCATTGTAGTTTCTTTCTTATTCTTCTCAACAATATTGCCAATAACATTTTGTGCCGATATTAAATCAGGTTGTTTTGCAGCCAATCTTCTGGCCTCATCTGACATTTCACGTTGTCTTACACTTTGTTGTAAGTGCATTTCAGAGGCAGAGATGATCCTTTGCAAGACAACAAGATAGCAGCTCTGGTCGTCAGTGATGAAATCAGGCAGACAATTGGAATCCTTTGCCAGGCTGATGAGGGACACCAGATGTCGACTTAAAGACCTGGCTTCTGAGAAACCAATCGAAGTCAGCATTACTTCTGCAATGATCCTGTAATCTGGATGAGTTAATGCGATTGGTCTGGTCACATATCGTAAACTCTCAGGAACCTCAGATGGATATCCCTTTGATGAGATGAGAACACATCCATAGCTTAGTCTGGCAGAAATGCTTTTCCCGGCAAGTACCATATTGCGTTCTTGATCAACAACGTTTTTGAAATCTACAGGTCTTTCCTTCGGCTCCTCATTCACATTTTGATTCTGATTTCTTGTTGACATAGAAAAGGATTGGTGAATGTCTTCTAGATGTTGCCCCAGTATTGACAGGACCTCTTGTTTTAGTGAGTCCACAGAGTCAAGCAGAAGCCATGCTCCAGTCTGGAGGGCGCCAATCAGCATCCGCTGAACAACAACAGGTCTCATGTCTGGACTACACTGAATATTGACAACCTGTCGTCCCAGTGCTTTCCCTAAGTGGACAACCGTTTTTGTCTTTCCAGCCATGGAAGGTCCACTCATAAATCCACACCTGTAGCTTGTTAGAACAAGGAGGATCCCAAGTATTGCCCGATCTGTGGATTGAGTGTGCACCATTTCCCAATCTTCTGGACCAAAGTATTCATAATCATATGGGAGCTGATGGCCCAAAACATCTATGAAGCATGTTGGATCAGTGCTGCTTTTTAGATTTGTATCTTCAGATATTTTATATTTCATCAAACTGAGCCACTCAAAAGACGACTCCAATGGAACATGTTGAATCTCCATGAGTTTAGATAGCTGTTGTGCATGATTCATAGTCATTTGCACTAATGCACGCAGACATATCATCATGTATCTGGATACCAGACATTCACTTTTAGCCCCTTTAACACCATCCCTAATGGAACAGCCAAGATTTTCCAATTTTGCAGAGTTGCGTGCCTTTATACTCCTTAACTTCACTGGGCTTGATTCTTGGAAAGCTTGTAAAACAGCCGTGCACCAAACCACCTCCTCAGTCACCAGGAGACACTGAAGAGGATATTCAGACAGCAGATCCAGCTCAGGCAATGCAATTCTTCTCCTGTCAGGGATTTGGGACGGTTTGTCTGAAACATTTTTATCACATGCCAAATCCTGGCTGAAGGGTTCAAGCTGGCTTTGAACAAAGGCACATTCTTTCATGAGCTGTACCATAGCCAACTTCAGTTGTTTCTCAAAGACACAAAGCCAGGACAAGGTATTGGTATTTGGTTTCAAAGGAGACAGAAAGGTAACATGTTCCTGAAGGCTCCCAAAGAAACCTAAAACCTTCATCTGCCTGTGCATTTTTACAGTAGACCCACAGCTCTGTATATCTTGTGTATTAGATGGTTTTCCACAATCTACTTCAAGACAACACACCCCTTTAAAGCATTTGCGTACAAAGGTTGCAGCATGACAGGGGTTGGGTGAAAGGTAAGTAGCTGTATGACTTCCCTGTCACTCAAGAACCAGAGTCGTGGAAACTGTACAAGGAGAGTGTCCAGTTGATCCGTCATGTTGATAGAAATAGCCTCCATTGTAGATAGACCATCAATGAGAATCTGGCAAAGGTTTTTACCATGAAATCTGTCATTTTCCTTTTTGTGATGAACAAAGCCCAACATATGAGGGTCACTTGATAAGGACTGCATCATCTCCTTAAATGTCTCATCAACTGGTTGAAATTGCTCCTGCTAAGTAAAAATAGAAAAGGAACAATTATCTTACATGTAACCTTGCTAATTTATCAGTTTCATATCATTAAACAAGTTGTGTTATGTTTGTCTGTGATGACGTAGAAATGTACCAAATGCACTCTCTGAAGACAAAAGGATGTTTCATGGAACATCTTGGTCAGGAAGGCCCATATTTGCTGATATCTATTAAATAGATTAAGCACTTTTCCTAAAGCAAAACACAATACAGTTTGACACCATTTCTTCTTTACTTGATGGCACATGTTTAAAAACGTAATTTTTCCATTTTTCTTTAAATATACACCTTACCAAGATCTTGTAATGATTGCATCCACTCTTCCATTTGCCTCTTGCACTCAACAGCATGCGGGGACTTCAACATAGTTGAAAGAGTCATCAAATCATTTTCTATCTCAGCAATGTGTAATCCTAGACCTAAGTGAGAAAACGAGAGAAATCTTAGCAACAGGTACACAGAGTAAGGCTATTCACACATGTCCCTCTTTGCTTTGGAGCTAAAGTAATTATTTAAAAGGTATGCTAACAATAACTGCAACAATTTCTACATAATATTCTGGCATGTATTTTGCCAGCTTGTTATTAAATCTCACCTATGATGGTGAATCTCACATCACCAGGGGAGGGTTGACTGGCACTTACAAGATTTGGATTTCTGCCTTCTCTGTGCTTCTCTTTCTCAGTTGATTCATGGTGTGGCTCACATTGCTGAGAAACAGACGGACTGAATATATCTAGCTGGAAGAGTCTTGCTTCCCATCCCTGTTTAAGCTTTAGAAAGGTCTGATCCATGTTGGACTCTGCTTTTGCAGCCCTGCATATCTGATAGAGAAAAGATTCAAGATATTTATTGTCACTCTGGTTATACAAGTAAAATCAAGTAAAATTATCTCCTTTGACAAAGAGTAGGTAGTAAACATAACATAAAATAGAATAGAGTAAAATAAAATGTTTTTTTTTTTTTTTTTTTTTAAATCACAATGTTTTAAAGGGTTTTTAAGAAAAATATGTACATTTAATGCTGAATATATATATATATAACTGAAGTGTAACATAAATATACATCCTGAAATAGTCCGTATTGCACAGGGGGTTATATTGTACTTGAAGTTTTTTAATTATTTAAGAGTCTTATGGCCTGGTGGAAAAGGTAGAATAAGTACAATCAGTCAAGTGTAATATTATAAAAGTATAAATTAATATTATGTGTTCTTTTAGTCTGTTCTAACCAGAAAACTATTTCACCCATGATTTTCACAGATTTTAGAAGAATAGTCAAAATATAGATTTTAGAGTCCAATGCTCTCACCTTGGTTATCAATTTCTGGTCAACTTCCGTCTGTGCAGACATCAGGTCAGCAACCATCACCATCTTTTCTGGGTCATACATTAGACCCATGCCTGCAGATGGAAGGAATCTTGATCACTTCAAATATGCTATGTTAACATGAGTGTGATTCTATATGGGGATGATGGCTGACCTTTAAATATGGCTTTCCAGTGTTTTGTTTTGAGTGTGGTACTCTGCAAAGGGGCCATGGCTGAAAGCTGATGACTTAAGCTTTCCAAGAGTCCCAATGTCTCCTGGAGCACTGCATCATTGGTGGGTATCATATCTGCTAGAGATAGAGCTTGATGTTTCCACTGAGTAATTTTTTCCTGAGCTTGTGATACAACAACCTAAAGACAAATATATCAAAACAACAAAGTTAAAAAGCTTAGTGACCTGTTATCATTGCAGCAAAAATATTTTTAATTCCTAACTTAATTATTTAAGTTTAACATAGTATCTCTATAGCGAAAGACGCCAGAACTTGCAATAAAGTTTTAAAACTTTCAACAATAAAGATAAACAGCAGCAGGTGTTTCAGCCCTAGACTTTCATATTATCTCTGTATATATGATAAAATACAGCTGAGACTAGGTTTTGATCGTCAATGCACCAGTTCTATAAAAAAACCTTTTTATTCTTAAAAAACAGAATGAAGGCAGAATACAGGAGCCCGAATTCTAAATAATCTGAGACAAATATGTTTTAAATTTGTCATTACTTTAAACGTAAGTATATAAATAACAGCTTGGCATGAATATCATCTTTGTAATAGGCAAAACTGTTGTTGGTTTATTTGAAATGTTACCTCACTAAAAGGCAGAGATTTCCATTGTTCCATCCATGTTTTGCACATAGCAATCAGCTCCCACAACTCTTTACGGGCCTCAAACTTCTTGATGTCTGTTGTCAAGATGCTCATATCCATTGGATGTTCTGAATGGACAAACAAGAAAAACATTCTGGTTAAATTAGGAGTTTTTGTTATGACGGAACATGACAAAAATATATGACCAGGGCTGTTTTTCAAGACAAAACCAGTGTGTGTGTGTGTGTGTGTGTGTGTGTGTGTGTGTGTGTGTCTTTTCTTGTTTTTATGTACATGTGCCATCTACCAGGAGCCAACATTTAAGCTACAGGTCAAAAAGTAACCTCTCTAAGCCTGGATATAATTAACACCCATTATTTGTATCATCTCACCTTGTAGGTTTTGACTGGTCCTACTAACTTGTTCCAGTTTTGCATTGAGATTGTGCACATGTTCACACATGGGGTTCAGTGTGAAAACAATCTCTTCTGCACTCTGAGTTGGGTCAAGGAAAGGTCCTGATGTAGCCTTTGAGACCTTATTTTTAAGGTCACAGACTAAAAATGAGAACATTGTGTCCAATGCGTGGGACATAGTTGGAAGCTGGTTGCACACGATGCTATCTGCCTGCTTCAAGAGCAAGATAAAGCAATCCCACATGGCCAGCATCTAGATTTATAGCAGACATAAACACACACATTGTAATGGTAATAAAGAATATAAACTAAGATTTTATCAAACAGCTGTTATGTTCAAAATAATGCATGAAACTAATTTGCAAAAATGATAATCACTACTATGCCTGCAGACCTTCTCTTCCAAAGTGACCTCCTGGTCAGTCATCTTCCTAAAGTTCATGCAGACAGTATCCTGGAGGGAATGAATGTACTCCATACGCTTCTGTGTGTCAGCTAACATTTTCACAGACTCCCTCACCTAAAGCAAAAGAAAGATATAGCACTTTCATAAATTTGACAAGTTAGCATGTAAAATAAATGCTATTTAATAAGATTTCGTTTGAAATGATCAGGACCTCAGGGTTATAAAGAGCATTAAAATACAGTTGTATGGTACTAAACTTTTTATTCTAGTATTTATTTCAACTTGAAGGTGGGAAAGTTATGTTTCTATAGTTGACTACAGCAAACCTTAACAAATATAGAATGAAATAAATTACTTTTCCTTCTCTCTTAAAAGTGCTTTTGGCTTTTTGCTGTTGTCAAAGAAACAGTGATATGCAGCCTGGTTGTTTTTATGATCCAAAATTTTCAAAATATCAGACAACAGGTGGGTTATAATAATGATATGCTTAAGTATTTGTCGGTGAGTTTTCAATTATTTAACTACTCGTTTGTTACAAAAGTTTCCTGGGGTGTTGCTTTATGTAGGTCATATGTGTACATATACATTTTATTCACTAGTTTTCCTTAAAATAACTCAAAGAACACCTAAATCCATAAATAATTCACAGATTGTTCTTTCATAATGGAATCTAAATTCAGAACCCCTGACCAAAGACAGCCTTTGGAATTAATATTTAGTTGTGAGTTCTAGAGGATCTTAATCTTCATATTGCACATAAACTGACAAGGAATGACCGTGATCTAAAGACACTTACGTGACTTCCAAATAATCAGAGAGTAAACTATGTTGTTCTTCTTTTCTCTAGTCCTTGACTAAACGTTCACGCTTCTCACTCATTGAAGACAGTCATGGCTCAGAGAGACATTTACACAGGATATACTTGATTTCTGCTGAATTTATATGTAAAATGTCACACATTCTTCCTTTAACTGCTTGACATCGTACACTTTTTTATTTACATTTTCACGTAAGTAGGTCCTGCTTTAGAGACTTTCCATACCTTAAGAGCATATTGTGAGAGGTCATGTAAGTCTCTGGGTTCTGCCTTGAATTCAGCAGCAGCCCCCTCCAGGTCTGAAATGAGACTTTCTGAAAGCAGCTTTATCTGTTCAACAAGCTGCCCGAGCACATCCTCCTCAATACACCTCAGCTGCTGAACTTCATAAACACAGGCAAAGAGTAAAGAGCATCAAGCAGAGTTGCAAGTAGTTTCTCAACACATCAGCTTACCACACAGTTTAGTATTAAAAGTGATCTATGTTTTTTTTAAAAACTTTGTTTCATTAGTCCTTCATAAGACACCTATTCATACGTTCTCAAAGAGGGATGTTTCTTTAACTGAACACTGGAGAGAAGATTAATTGACATACCAAGGTTTTCTTTTATGCAGGTGCACTGGATGATAAACAGGTTGTTGGAGGTTGAGACTGATGAGGGAAATGTGCAGATTCTATCAGTCCAGTGGCGTAGTTTCTTTATGAGCTCCTCATAAAGTAAACTCGACTGACCCTTCATGGATTCCAAAGAGGCTTGACTCCATTGACTAGTGAACAAATTAATGTCCAACAACCACGAGTAGCTCTCACACAGCTGCAGGATTTCTATCTCAGCTTCCTGTCCAGATAAAAATGTGTTCACACAACTACCAATAATGTATATAATGTTAGCTTGTATTTAATGTAAAAGTAACAGCCTTGCCTGCATGATCTTTGCCTGCTCTTTGTCAACCTGTTTTGCGACATCATTAATGCTGATCTGCCACTCCAGCTGTCCCCTAGTTAGGGGATAGTTGCAGCCATGCACTCTGTTGCCCTGGACAATTGGCAAGCGAATTGGAAGGTCTCTATGACATTGACGGCAGCAAAACATTCTGCAAACACTTGTTCCATCGTCGTTCTTATTCTCTGGGAATTCAAATACATTGTGAGTATGCAGAAGCTAAAATTAAGTCAAGAAGGGAACTATAAGAGTCCAATACAACATCAACACAAATTACTATACCTGTAAAGATGGTATATTCAGTATGACTAGAGTCAGAGGTTAAGTCCTGAGCAAAACCAGAGTTGGAGACACTGTTGTTGCTCTCCAGGAAAAGTCCACAATTGTCACACATCTATAGAAGAATAAAGGGTTTTTGACTGATGATAAATTCATGTTCCAAAATGATGTTTAAAGTAACAATAAAACTACTGGATACAGATATAAGAACCCAAATGTAATTTCAGTCAAGTATTTGTACTACATGAAGCTGATATTTGTCTTGCTGACAATAATGCCCTTGTTGATTATGTAGGACAAGCTAAATACCATCTCTCCTTAGTAAAATCAACATTAAAGAACTATTTAAAGTATCCAAACTAAATTCTGATATGCACATTTCAATGTACCAGGAATCCAACCGCACAACAACTGCAAACAATTTTAGTTTACTGCTTGCATTAAGACCCAAAAAAAAAAATAGAATGTCCTAATTTCTTTTAACTATAACCAAAATGTATCATTTTCATTCTGTATCTTTGCTGTAGCTGCCTTGACTGTAGGAATTTGTACATTACCTGAATAATAGACTCTCCAACAGTCAGGAGGGCTTCACTCAGTGCTCCTTGATACAGATGTACTGGTGGGTCCACAGCCAGATGAGTGTTAGCACCAAAGCACAGCTTAGTGTGAAAGAGACAGCCTTGCTCAGATTTCTTCCTCTAACAAAGAAAAATACATTGTTAATTTTAAACTCTCGTTAAATTCTTCATGAATTTGTTTTTTCTGATGTTTCTTTCGGTATTTCATTTGTCATGGCTGTTATGTTTATAACCGGAACCTTTGATTTTTACAACAAAAGTGGAGTTCAAAAATGCTTTCTTGTCACCTTCAAAACATGGTTGAGAAAAGAAATGGCATCCTGTTTGGTTACTGTAACGAGACTCTGCAGAGTCATCTGATTGATGAGACCAACAAATTTTCCCAATTTCTTTAAGACACTTTCAGACTGAGCCAACTCTTTCTTCAGATCCTGCTGGTGAGCCAGATGAAGGTGAATGGGTTCGGAGCACTTTGTAGGCTTTTTAGAATATTCCATGTGCAGCTCCAACTCCTGCTGTGTCTTGTAGCAGTCATCCCTCACCTAGTGATAAAGAAACACATGAGATTAAATATTAGAGAGGTAGTGACCTACAGTAGAAACCTTTTAATATTATGTTCTAAAAATATGTATTATTTCTTTAACAGTTGTCACACCTCATTAAGTATTCTTTGGAATTTAAAACAATTTAAGATGTAATTGTTTCACTCTGTGAAACTTTTACCTTATTTAGAATGGAGAAGCGAAATTTTGACAGCTGTTTCAAAATTTCAAAACCCTCTTGATTCATGTCTTTGAGCACATGTTTGAATTCCAGCATTGTGTAGGTTTTAATCTCCTCCTGGGGTAGCAGGTGTTTCCCTTTCACATCTTCAATAATTCTGTGAAACATACAGCGACATTTCCAGGAAAACAGTAAAGACTTAACATCTGTCTCAACTAACAGTTAGAGATCAGATCATACATCGTCTTCAAGTCTTAACACTTATTCAGATTTAAAAAAAATCAACATTTAACTCAAACAGAATAATTTGTTTGCCAGCCTGACTCACCTGTTGAACATGAGAAGAGCATTTCTGAACTGAGGGACCGCTATAACCAGCCTATTCTGCAGACTCTGACACCTGCGGTGAAAGATTATCTTGCGCACACTTTTGTGCCACCTGAGAAAAAAAAAGGACCAAAAAAAATCTCAAAGAAAGAAAAATGAAAATGGAGAGGTTTAAAACGTACCCCTGACATATACTTACCACGTGAATGCTTTCTGGAGTCTAAAGTCCCTAAAAAAAGGAATTTCCTGCAAAGCTGTCCACAACACAGACTCTCTGAACCACTCTGCCAGACTGACAATTCCACCAAAACCCCTTTCTGTCACATGTAGTACAGAATTAGGGGTGAAGATGTAGTGCTCGGAGCCAGCCTCACTGGAATGGACCACCTGCAGGTCATATGGCCTTAAAACCAAGAGGACAAAAGTTTAATTTTGTGCATGACGGCAAACTTAATTACTAAGCAAGATCATCTACAGGAGTCTGAAATGAAATATGGTGCACAATCTTATTTCAGTGTACCTGTAGGAGTCCCCCTCCACTTCTTTCAGGTAATAAAGCAACAATTCTCCCAGGTCTCTTTTCTTGGCAAAGATATGAAGCACCTCTGTGGCAGTGAGTGGAACTTTATTAGGTTTGGCCGCTTTCCCATTGTTCACAGTATTTATCTTTTTATTATAACAGGCTGTGACTTTTATGGATTCATCCTTTCTTGTAAGACTGAAATATAAAAAAAACAAGTGTAAACACAGGGACAGTTATTTCAGGAATCAAATCATTTTGAGAATAAATGATGGCAATTAAAACGGTCAGCCTTTTATGGCCCCCCAAACTAATTGGGAGCTGGAAAATATTTGAGTTATTCTACGCTGTGTCAAACGTCAAATAAGACACAGCAATACTGATATTACTGTACCATCATCATCTTAACATAAAATGCCTGTTTTTTTAAGATTATGTTAACACTAAAATGTTTTTGTTGTTGGTCGTAAAATTCTGTCAAAAAAATACTTATACAAACTTCATCAGAATGTCTGAGAGAATGAGGTCTCTTTTGTGACTTTCGTTTGAAAATCAAACTCAACATTCAGATTTGCATTAATGCATTTTAAGTGACAAATGTAACTTGATTGCAAAAAATTGTTATTGCTGTGTTGAAAGTTTTGATTTTTAAAATATATTCTTTGATTGCAGCATCTAAAGTTAACTTTTTAAACCTAGCCCAACTATTTGTGTTTGACTCCATAAATGGAGATCCAAAAAGTACCTTCATATGCAATCAGTTATTTCTCGTACCTTTGTGCTGTCATCCCAACAGCAGTTCTGATTGGGATGTCAGTCCCCAATGCTGAGGCCAATAGTCGAGGTCCTTTTGTCCATTTGGTGTCATATGTGGCTCTACCAGGTCCTACCTTGGCTACAAGAGGAGGAAGCTCCACCACAGATATAGGTCTATCAGAGGGGATACTGTCGAGGACGGGGGTACAACTGTACAGAGGCGTGGTAACAAAGGCTGCTGAGACAGTGGGCTTCATAAGGGACAGAGGTGGTAAAAGGGCCTTTTTCTTAACCTTGGATCCAGTCCTAGTAATGTCTTTATCAAAGCTCTGAGAAACTCCATCATGATCATAAGGGGCAGTACATGCTGCTGATGTCTCTTTGAATGCCATTAGCAGGTTCAGGTACCACAATCTTCAACTTGCAGATCTACATTGCAATTTTTCTCTGGGATTTCTGAAAATAAAGGACAAACTGTAGCAAACCATTTAAAAGGCACAATATTAGATACATATACAGATAACATGGTAATTAAACCTAAAATGCTGTCAACGACATGAGTTAGAATACACATTAGGCATATAAGCTAAACACTTATCTTTGCTGGACAATAACAATGACATAAGCCTATAGGGAAAAAGTTTGGAAAAAGGGAGCATCTTTTTTCCAAATAAATAAAATAAAGCAAGGATAGCATAAAGCATGCTGGTAAAGCTTTTGAAAAGCACACTGTCATCAAATATCAGAAAACAATGCCTGACAATTTCCTCATATTGGGTATCTGCTTACAGAGGCTATCTTGCATTTTAGTTGCATTGTCTAATAAGATTTAGCAAGCAAAAACAAAAAGGGGGTACCTGTGTGTGTTTCCTAATATTCTGTTTAAAAAGCCTACACTTTAATAAAGCCATCGTGTCTTAAAGGAAACATTTAGAAAGTAGTAGCCTACTGATAGGCCTATCTCGTTTTAACTGAATGACCAATTACGAATTCACGTAGGTTACAGCATACTTAACTTTCTAAAGAGGTCAAAATAACTTTTTTTGTGGTTGCTATGTCTACATTCAATTAGGCGATAGATGGACAAAATCACAACCAACTTAGTTACGCTAACTTCATTTTAACGGGTAAAAACGGTAAATATATATATCATATATTCAGAGGAACAGAAAAAACTAAAGTTTCGAAAGTTTCGATACTTTATAACAACATACTTTGAACAAAAAGAGGAACAGAACTTCCTTGTGTGTCTTTCTTACCTGGCTGTCGAGAGCAGTTGTCAGCGATACCATGGCGACGGCTAGTTGCCACGGTAACGCACACAGTAACTCTTGGTTGTGCTGTAAAGTTGCTGAAGGTCAAGTAGGCTGACAAGTAAGCATTAAAACTGTATGGCTTTACTTGTATCCGGTACAGCTTGTCGGAAATGCAACGAATAATTTTTTTTTTTTCGAAACAATCGGTTACAAGAAATCACAGAAAATCATTGTAGGCCTATAATTCCGATATAAAAAAACCCCTACCAACTTCTTTAAAAAATATGTCTTCTGCTAACCTTGTAGCTACTAGCCTATGTGAAAGTGTGGTTTTGGCCTGTTTTCTGTTTCAGAGAATGTTGTGCTTTTAAGAAGTAGGCCCAAATTTGGCAATAAATAGCAAGAATATATTGTAAAATGTAGCCAATGCAAAGTAGAATAGGCCTACACCCATACTATGGCTCCCTTTCACACTGCAGGCTATATGCTGCATTAAACTATAGGCTATAGGTTGGCATATTTAGTGACACAATTAATGAGCTATATAGCTATAGGCCTATACACCAATTTAATTTTGCGGCTTTTAGTGGTGGGTTTGAATGACTTAATATCCTATAGGTCTTCATCATATATTTTGCAGGATTAAAAGTAAAATATTTTCTCAAAACCTATTGGATCATGGGCAATATGTAGGCTAGCCTTGCGTAAAATGCCAAATATTATCCATAAAATTAAAAAAGATAACCCCTTTTGAGCAATAGGCTAGGCTATCTACTAGTAGGCTATGAGTGATGAGTGAGGCTATGATTTTTTTTATATTTGTATACCCTTTCTTCCTGTGTATCTATATTGATACAGTATTTAAGATTTTAAAGTGAACACATCATCCTTTTTATAGCCTACTTCATACAGGGCTGCAGTTTCTTTTGCTTCTCCTGTTCCCAACTTTTAATGGAGAGTTTTACTTTTGATTTGACCTCTTAAAGTACAACAAACTGACTATAACCTACTCATCAAGAAATCCAGTATGACCAGGTCCATGAAGTCCACCAGTCTTGTGCCTTTGTCATATGGTGGAATCTTTTGCACTGATGAACAGTAGTCTGGTTCGGTTTCCCATCTGAAACAAATAAAATCAAGTCTTTTTTTTGCCATCATTGTCTTAGAAATATATTTTGATAATATGACTTGAAAAGAAAAATCTGTTTTTTAACCACCACTTTCTTGTTAAGAGTCGACTGTTGTGTGACTTCTGTTTTATTTTGATAGGCCTACAGTTGACATAAACCTTCCAATCATTTTAACAAGTCTAAAGGCTGAAAACTGATTTGAGTTAATCACACAAATGAGTCTTCTGAATTTTTCCATAATTTGATTTGGCATCTTTATTTAAAATGAGACCTATGCAAATGTCTCAAAACTGTGGTAGTGACAAAAAAAGCATTTAGCAACTTTCTTCATTATCATGCATTCAGATAGTTCATTTTTACAAGGTTTTGGTGGGGGAATTTTGGGTGAGTTGGATTATGTATATTATTCAGTGCTATTGTTCCTCTGTGACTAAGGCCCTGACTCCCACTCACATTGCCAGCTTGCTGCGGCTGTACGAGCGCCTCCAGGGGGATCTCCAGGTCGTGCGTGTTGCCAGGGAAAGATCAGGCAACATGGTAGCCAAGGAGGCTTCAAGGTTCCTAGGGCGTCCACACACAGCGTGCTCTGTTGAACAGTAGTAGGAGCATTGCCCGTAGAAACATACACTGCCCACTAGGGGGAGCCAGAGGAGCACACAGAGAGAGAGAGAGAGAGAGAGAGAGAGAGAAAGAGGAGATAACATGTCATATTAGGATAAAAGAGGTTATGGATGGTTAAGACAGAGGAGAATCAGAAGGAACAAATTTCAACAAGATTCATAATCAGTCGTTACACGTGAGCATTTTAAGCCAACTAAATGAATAATGGAGAATTGTGGAAGCTCATACCAGGGGATTTAAAAAAGGTCCGGGCCAGCTTGCCGTCAGTGGTGATGTCTTTGATCTCCTTGACCACATCCACCAGCCTTCCCACCACTGGAGGGATTCTCCTGTAACCCAAAATCCTGCAGGGAGAGTGGAGGAGAGTGCATTGCAAGGACAAAGACAGACAGGAATGAAATAGAGAGAGACAAAAAGAGAAAACAAGAGAGGCAAAGAAGAAAATACAGTCATTTTGTAGACATTTTATCAGCCTGTGCACATTTCAAGTTGTATGAATTCTGGCCTGGTACCTGTCCAGATGAAAAGCAGATATTTCTGCATTGTGTCTCTCAAAGTCAGAGAAGTAGTATAAGTTGTAATTGGTTTCTTCATCTCTATCCTGTCTGATAAGCAGAGCAAAAAAGTCAAATTACAGTGGGTCTTCATAATGCAAACATTAATTTACATCCATCAAAGCTTATCTTATTTGCTCACTGGCTTTGAACAAGAGCACTCAGGCTATTGAAGTTTCTGTTCACCAAAATCTAGCAACAACATCTTGAGAATTATGAAATATTAAACGTCATCCCTTCTATTATTGACTCCATCAATATATCTACCAATGGCCTGAGTGAATTGATAGCCCTCTCTTTGCTTCTTCTACAGTTTTCCCAGGGACTAACTTCATGGGCTTGAACATTGCTTGTCCGTAGTTGGGAAATGACATCACCAGCTTCAATTGCGTCCCTCCAGACTTCTGCACTGAAAAACAGTACAGAGAATGTTTCCATAGCAACAAAGAACACACCAAGCCTTTTAAACCCATAGCCCCTTAATGGGGCAACAACCTTCACACACACACACACACACACACACACACACACACACACACACACATACACACACATATAATTTCTATTTCCTTATATTAAACAAGGCCTATTCAACACATAAAATGAATAATCAGATCACACATTTTACAGTAATAGTGACATTATACAACCTCTGAGTGAAAGCAAATATTAATATTGCCAGAGCAATGTAAATAAAGAAACACATTGGAGACAACTCTTCCATGTTGTACCCCAAAGACAAGAGAGGGGAAAAATCATGCTGTTGTCACCATTTAAAAGGTTTTGAGTTTATGATGTATTCCAGCCCCTCCTTTTCATGAAATCCACCCACCCTGACCGTGACAGGTTCTTTAGGTGTTTAGGTGTTATTCATTGAGGACTGAGTCACCTTCTACTCTGACTCAAATCTTCCTGTCCTTTGCTCAGAAAAACATCTCATCTTTGCTTGTCTGACACCTCCTCAGTCAAGTTTTATGACTCTGCTCCTACCATGTTAGACGAAAGCTGATCAACAAACACAAAGACACAGCTCATAGGTTTTGTGTCACACCTGCACTGACGATGCGATGCGTGGCAAGTTGTTGGGTCAGCAGATTCATGTTTGAGTCACCATGCGGATAGAGCTGCCAACGGGTGATGCCCAGGTGGAAGCGAAGCCAGGGAGGATGGCTGTTACTGTCACTGTTCCACTGGATGTCTCCATAGCCCTCCTGACTGGCACTCACCCTGGGGGGGAAAGGAGGAAAATGGATGATAGCGCGACAGATTAAAAAAGGGAAAGTGGACAAATGAGAGCGTGTTCCTGAACAGGCTACATAGATAAAAAGTCAGTGATTTCCCCAGCAACAGTAGATAGAGATTGCATTAAGTAACAAGCTTCTAATCTACTTAGAGATTTGCTTAATGACAGAAAAATGTAGTGTCCAAAATGTTGTAATGTTGTGTCCAAAACTGAGTAAGCCGTATATTCAAAATAAATCATATATAATACTCTTGATTTAATAATAGAAAAAAAAGGTAACTATTTGGATTCAGGACGATCTGTTATTGCAATATGCCTTCTGAGGTTCTTACTGTACACTATTTTGTAAAAACTGATCAATTTATTGATAAAATAATTGATACATTATTCCATTTTTAATACAAAAGTTTGCAGCTTAAATAAAAACTAAAGAGGGTTATATCAATAAGCTATAGTAGATATATCCTCCCCAAAAAACAAGGGGGGCAATCACATTTCTTGTTGTGTCTGCAGAGGCCGTTTATTTTTGTTTGTTTGTTTTTTTACTTTTAAGGGCATACAGTAGCCAACAGCATACATGGACACCTCAGAAATGTAAAGCTACAACATAGTGACTGCTACAGATCATCTTTGACTACATGAGATCGTGTCCCTGCAGTCTGACCCATCTGCAGAAAATCTATCATCTACTGTACATGCTTTTATGCATTTCAGAGGAGAATGACAAACTGAGTGGAAATTACCAGAATAACACATTGTCTATACTTTTTTTGGTTTACAGCTTTAATGTTTTGTGTGTGTGAATAAAATAGCTGCTGCAGGAATGAAATATATTAAATTGACTAGAGTAACTAAATTATGTTGACAGAAGTTAAATAACAAAAGTGTGTTTGCTTGATGAAAGTGTTTCTATGAAGTGCAAGAATGATGATAGGGGATCTCATAGAAGAACTCTTACACACAAAATTAAACACTATTTAATGTATCAAAAAAAAGATTAAGTACCTCACAATACTGCAAGTGGGCACTTTGGAGCACAGAGAACTAGGATTTGTAGGCTATATGCAAACCTAACAAAGTATGGACTGTGTAGTACAAAGTAAAAGCTATTTGGAACAGCAGTATGATGAGTAGTATAATGTAAGAATTCCTGATTTTATGCATACCTCATGCAAAGTACGTACTTGTTAGGACAGCTAAAGTGCATACTACAAGTGCAATACAAAAGAGTTCAAGGAAGGCATGGTGTTTGGTAAGCAGTCTTCAGCAACAACAACAACAAAAAACATTGTCATACACTGACCACATCTGGGAGCTCTTCTCGCTGGCCTTGACTGTTGTCTTCATTTTCAGCAGCCAGTCCTCCTCAGGAATCGGAGAGCTGGGCATGTTGTAGAGAGGATGGTCAAACAGCGCCTCCAGCTTGAACAGACCAGACTCCACAGGTTCCTCTTGGTGACTGTCATGGTGGCCCCCGCTGCCTGGCATGTTCTTTGAATCACTTCCCCCCTGCTTCACTGGTAATCCCATGTCAGAAGGTGTATGCACATGACCTTTGGTTTCCTTATTGGCATCTTCAGTGGAATAATCTCTGTGTGTGGTATCGGTAGGTGGCTCAGCTGGACCACTGTTGTCTGAGGAGGTGAAATTGGTTCGTGCCAGGTCTCTCAAGATGTGTGTCCTTGGTAGCAGTGGGGGGTTACAGGACTGGTGGTGAATGGTAAGAGAGAAAATCGCCAGGAGGAGGTGGAGGAAAATGGTGAGGAAAGCCAAGGACAGACAGATTGTCCTGGACCGATAACGCATACGCCACTTCATCCTGCTGAGGGGCAGGTGACAAAGAGTCCAGAGAGAACACAAAAAAATGAGGAAAGAAAATGGGGTGTTTAAGATTTTGAAAAAGCATGTTATAGAAGAATGCATGAAAATACAAGAATGACCACCCTAGCATTGGGAAGCATTTTACTCTATTGTTTAAAAAGTGCACATCAGCTTACTCCTCCTGCACATAAACTCATGACTTCAATTTACTAAAGTTCCAACACTAACAATCTGTCATAAAAAGAGAAAGAAAGGAAAAACAACTTACACCAGGTTTCACCTTTTTAAAAATTACTTCTGACACCCCGCTGCTCTTGTGGCTTCTCAGAAATAAAAAAGCTATTTTCTGGTATCTAATCACTCTCTACTCGCTTGTTTGTAATGGTCACTGCTTCTGCTACATGCTAAGGTATTGGGAGGGCTGCCAGGTCAAAGTGATCTGGACATGGATCAATGTGTTTACTCTCTCTCTTTTAAAGTCGTTTTTTCCTGTGTGTTCTTTTTTGTAAGTGTAGTTTTTTATTTGGACTGTCAAAACAGCACAAAACGAAAATCTGTTCTAAAAAAGACCTTGCAGATTGTAAAAGAGTGAGATTCTTGAAGTAGAGCACATCAACTTTAAATGTTAATATTATAAGTACTGATGATAAAAAAAAAGCAATTGTATTGGTAATTGGTTGTTCCCTCCTCTCTAGATCCTTGCTTGTGTTACTCACTCTCTAATGTTTGTCACTTTGGATAAAAGCGTCTGCTAAATGAGTTGGAGAATTGTTATCTGCCTGCCTGAGCATTTTCAGATGGCATAGTGAGAGCCCCCCCAAAAAATAAATAAATAAATAAATACAATAAAACAGAAGCTTCTTCAGTACGAACAAACAAAGAAAAAACACTTAAACACTTACTGTAGATTTCATGATGATCTGAACTCCACTTTCAAGCTGGAGGCGCTGTTTGACCATCCTCTCTAAAACATGCCCAGCTTTCCGATTCCTGAGGCGGACTGGCTGCTGAAAATGAAGACAACAGTCAAGGCCAGTGAGAAGAGCTCCTAGATGTGGTCAGTGTATGACAATGTTTTTTATTGGATGGACGTTTGGATAACTTGTAAAAACGGGTCTGGGCCGGGGGACAGACTCAGTACCTCTAGTATAATTATAATTACAGTTAGATTTAGAGTTACAGCTATAGTGACTGGGAGACAGATCTAAGGGAGCGCAGAGGAGCGTGTAATACTGCAGCTCTGCCTCCTGGTCTGAGCCTGTTATTTGATGCAAATAAGAGCGGATGTAAAGCCATGATTGACTGCTTTGTCGACAACTGCAGCTCCTTGCAGTATTCTTAACCTGTTTAGCAGCGTGGGGAGGGAAGGCAAGAAGACAATTTAACAAAAACTGAAACTGCAGTCATTGAACTTTTAGAGCCAGTGATCAATGTTGCTTTTGAGACAATAGTACAAAACCTCTGGCTTTGTCTGCTTACATATATACGATCTACTGAGTCTGTCAAAAAAGAGCCAAAACTATATATGTTTAGACAGGGATATGGGTCTTCATGGTCACCCAGTCTACTTACTGTGAATGTACTGTGTTTATTATGATGTCGGTCTTGCAGCGTATTGTTTATATATTTATTTCTGTACCTAAGCTAAAATGGTACCGTTCAGAGGAATTGAGGCATGCAATCATCCTCTTTATATCACTCCAAACATACAAATGCTATCAACAGCTCTCGATCCAATCATGTTGCCATGGTTAATTTTACATGTAGCTCATGTTTTTATCCACATCATCCATGTTTTATGAGTGATGTTGAATAAGAAATGAATATGTCCACCTGAATGAAAACAGTAAAAAGATTGCACCTGAATCTGTTCGTTGCTCTCTGAAGAAGCTGAGAGAGACAAGTCACTGCCCTTTTTAAGGCAGGTGATCCTTTCTCTTTGTACTGTCCATATGCACCCTACTGACAGTCACATGGGTTTCTTCTCTCTTATGTCACATGAGTCTCAGATCGACTCTCTGTGAAGTTTGAGGTGCTTCAATCAAAGTCTCATTTTTCCATCACAGAGTCAGAATTTGAAACTTCTGTCCTAACAGTGCCTGGTTATGAAGCTGTTTTCGTTAATTCTGCAAAATATTTACTATTTTTGCTCCTGTATATCACACATGCTGTTTTGAATGTTGAGCATTGCTTCCTCTGTACCCCCTCTATTTTTGTTTTTTCTATTTCCTATTTCTCTGAGCAATTCAAATATTAAGAGAAACAAAATGGATATTCAATGTTATTATGCTGCTAGGAGACAATTAAGGTTACTTTAACAGAGGCAAATTAAAAAAATGTTATGAAATATAGACAAAATAAAGGTTCTTGGATATGTTAAGACTAAAATGAAGAATTGTATAATCTCTCTAATTAAATTAAAGCCTATCTGCTTTAAAAGTATATGGTGAAAATGTGGAACTGATTAAAAAAACACTGAAGAGAAAACTTACAAGATCAGAGGAAGAAGAATCACTACAATCTTTTCCCTCTCTCTTTGGCCCCTCAGTGCTTCTTGTTGGAAATATCATACAATCATACAAACACCACAGAATAAATATAATCACGATATTAACCCGCATAAAAACCAATAAGAGCAAATAGTGTCTACTAATGAAATAAGGAAAAAAGTAATCAAAAAAATATTTCATAACATTTTTTTAATTTGGCCTTTGTTAAAGTAGACTTAATTGTCTCCTAGCAGCATAATGGCTATGACATTTTTCCTGTGGATCTAATTCTACTGCAAGAAAAAACAAAAATAGAGGGGGTACAGAGGAAGCAATACTCAACATTCAAAACAACATGTGTGATATATAGGAACAAAAAGAGTAAATATTTTGCAGAATTAACGAAGACAACTTCATAACCAGGCACTGTTAGGACAGAAGTTTCAAATTCTGACTGTGATGGAAAAATGAGACTTTGATTGAAGCACCTCAAACTTCACAGAGAGTCCCGCAGGATACACAGAGTCTGTGAAATATGGATCTTTAAAGTCTGTGTGTGTGTGTGTGTGTGTGTGTGTGTGTGTGTGTGTGTGTGTGTGTGCGCGCGTGCGTGCGTGTGTTCATGTAGGCCATATCCACGTGAACGATCTGAGACTCATGTGACATAAGAGAGAAGAAACCCATGTGACTGTCAGTAGGGTGCATATGGACAGTACAAAGAGAAAGGATCACCTGCCTTAAAAAGGGCAGTGACTTGTCTCTCTCAGCTTCTTCAGAGAGCAACGAACAGATTCAGGTGCAATCTTTTTACTGTTTTCATTCAGGTGGACATATTCATTTCTTATTCAACATCACTCATAAAACATGGATGATGTGGCTAAAAACATGAGCTACATGCAAATGAAGATAATAAAATTAACCATGGCAACATAATGGGATTGAGAGCTGTTGATAGCATTTGTATGTTTGGAGTGATCATAAAGAGGATGATTGCATGCCTCAATTCCTCTGAACGGTACCATTTTAGCTTAAGTACAGAAATAAATATATAAACAATACGCTGCAAGACTTATGTAAGCAGACAAAGCCAGAGGTTTTGTACTACAAGCAACATTGATCACTGGCTCTAAAAGTTCAATGACTGCAGTTTCAGTTTTTGTTAAATTTTCTTCTTGCCTTCCCTCCCCACGCTGCTAAACAGGTTAAGAATACTGCAAGGAGCTGCAGTTGTCGACAAAGCAGTCAATCATGGCTTTACATCCGCTCTTATTTGCATCAAATAACAGAGCTCAGACCAGGAGGCAGAGCTGCAGTATTACACGCTCCTCTGCGGCTCCCTTAGATCTGTCTCCCAGTCACTATAGCTGTAACTCTAAATCTAACTGTAATTATAATTATACTAGAGGTACTGAGTCTGTCCCCCGGCCCAGACCCGTTTTTAGTTATCCAAACATAAAAAAAAGGCGTAAATCGTCAAAATCTCATTGGAATTGAAACTACGAATACGATTTTGCCAAAAAATCTGAAAATTCACTGCAGACTTTTAAACATTAGGTCCTTAGCATCCAAATCTCTTTTAGTGAATGATCTGATATCAGATCAGCATATTGATTTGCTTTGTTTAACTGAAACCTGGCTGTGTCGAGATGAATATGTTAGTTTAAATGAATCCACTCCTCCCAGTCATTTTAATACTCATATAATTCGAGACACTAGACGAGGTGGTGGAGTAGCAGCTATTTTTAATTCTAGTCTTCTAATTAACTCTTGACCAAAGTTGAATTATATTTCTTTTGAAAGCCTTGTTCTTAGGCTTTCAAATCCAGTCTCAAGAACCTTTCAGCCACTTCTAGTTGTTGTAGTTTACTGCCCTCCTGGCCCATATTCTGAATTTCTATCTGAATTTGCAGAATTTTTATCAAATGTAGTCCTTAGCAGTGATAGAATAATTATTGTAGGTGACTTAAATATCCATGTGGATGTTGATAATGATAGCCTTAGCACAGCTTTCATGTCATTATTAGACTGTATTGGTTTCACCCAGGGTGTAAACAACCTACTCATCATTTTAACAACACCCTGGACCTTGTTTTAGCTTATGGCATTGAAATTCATAACATTAGAGTTTTCCTAGAAAATCCTCTTCTATCAGACCATTTCCTTCATTCAATAACTTTTGAATTTGTCTTACCAGAATTATCTCTAATTAATAAAAATGTGCTCTCTAGAAGTTTATCTGATAGTGCTGTAGCTAAATTTAAGGAAGCTATTTCGGTTGCTTTTGATTCAGTACCTTGTTTTAACCCTTTTTTGAAAACTCTTATAATAGCTTTAGTCCCTCTCAGCTAGATCGGTTTGTTGATAGTGCGGTGGATTCGCTGAGAGTTAGTCTTGATTCGATTGCTCCCCTAAAACAGAGGGTTATGAAACGGCACAGACTAGCTCCATGGACTAGCTCCCCTCCCCTTGGGATCGTTGATGGACCACTTGCCTGAACAACACCCCTAC